ATCACACTCAGACATGCATTATGAATGCTTCTCAATCACATACTAATTATCATAAGCAGGGATGAGATCATGTCATATCTCAACAACTTTGCATCAGCTACCACTCCTTATCCTTATGCATGCAGAATTAATTTCTTATCTGTACATTTGGAAAACACAATCCATTTTCTGCCTGCACTGCTAATAATTATTATCTTGAATTACCCTCCCAACACCACAACCAAACTGGATTATATCACCACAGTGTCTTTGTACTGCATTTTCTTAGTTTTGGCATTTTTCTACTTGACACAAGCACAATTGTACAATTTCAAATATAGTTCAGATTCTACTTTGGTCTAAGCATAAAACCAGCCAAAAATAACCAAAATATTAGCCAAAAATAGCCAAAATATTCTTTTTGTAATACTTTCTTTGTCTATACTATACTTTGTATACTTTGTATATGTTACTTTATCTTTTATGTGTAAAAAATGTAAGTATACATCTGCAACCAATATTTCAAAGTAAACATGTAATTAAGCAAATAAAAATTATTGCAAGTCCTATTATGGACACATGTTTAAAAATTTAGAAAGGAATAGGAAGCTGTAGCTTTTTGGAGTAGAACTTACATTCTCAGCTCTTTTTTCAAGCTCTGCTGATGGATACTTTGAATCAAGTCTAATTTACTTGTTAAGTCAGCACCATAGAAAAAACATGCACGTGTAATTGAGCAAACCTGCATTTGCGTGTTGGCTTTCTCAGTTACTATTCTGTGAATCTACCTTGTCTGGAATTGAGTTGTGATGTCTAATGGTAATGGTGACAAAAGTTAGAAATTTTTTTTACTGTCAACCATTCTAGCAAGGAGAGTTGCTATGAAAGGAAATGTGACAGGTTTTATTTTTATGAAGAGGAGTCAGAATCTCTCCCTTTAGTGGGACACATTCTATGATTAAGTGTTCTAAACAACTCAATTAAGACAGGGCAAGAGCTGCTCTAAATGCTCTAAATGGGTAAACTCCCCCTGAGTAATACGTAAATAAACAAACCCTTAAGCTAAAAGAATAAGGTAGAAATGCTGGCGTATGACTTACAAAACTAGTTCATAAAAGTACAAAACGCCCCCTCTCTTGTTTTGCATGCTTAGGAGAAAGCCATGTGCAATCTTGTAAAGATGCTCAAGAAAGTTGAGGAGAGGCTGGCTCACAGGATGAGAAACCGGGGCCTACACTCAGTTGCTATGTGAATGAGACATCATGGGAATTGACTCTCCAATCCCAGCCAAGCTACATAACTAAACACAAGGCCACCATTTTGACCACATGCCTTTAAGATGCAGATTCAGAAACTCCCAGTTAAGCAGTCCCTAATTTTGTGACCTAAAGAAACTACACAATGGTAAATTTTTATCATTTTAAGCTACCTTTTGTGCTCATTTATTTAATGTTTACTTTTTGCTTATTTATTTATTTGAAAGTCAGAGTTACAGAGAGAGAGGAAACGGGGAGAGCGAGTGAGAGAGACTTTTCACTCACTGACTCATTCCTCACATGTCTACAACATCTGAGGTTGGTCTCAGCCAAAACAGAGGGAAAAAACCCCAACCATGTCTCCCATGAAGGTAGCAAGGACTTATAGAACTAAGTTATCCAGATGTCTTAACAGGAAGCTGCACTGGAAGTAGAGATGAAACTTGATCCTAGGCATTCCGATATGGGATAGAAGTGTCCCAAGCAGTACTACTATGGCCACTGACTTTTGTAGTAACTTATTACATAATAATAGATAATGAACACCTATACCAAAAACTTATTCTCACTATGTGGAGAGTAAAACATACAAGAGGCTAAACCCCGATGGGCAATGGGATTTCCAGCCTCTACTTAATGTGTAATCTGCTAACATCTGCTACTATAGCAAATCTTCTGGTGAAACTCAACATTAACAGGCCAAGGAGCATACTTTCTGTAGTAGCCTCAGAAGCAACCCTCTAAAGTTATCAAAGTTCATAAGGTAGAAGAGTTTTTGTTGGTGGATTAAATTAAGGACTTTGAGATGGTGAGGTTTGCTGGGTCATCCAGGTGGGCCCAAATCACATTACCAGGATTCTTTTGAAAGAGAGGCAGAAATGTGACATGCAAGCAATGAAGGCACTGTATAAAGGTGGAGACAAAAAAAAGGTTGGAGTCATGTGGCCACAAGCCGATACGAAGGAATTTTGGCACCTGCCAGAAGGCAAAAGAGGCAAACAGTGGATCCTCTGCCAGAGCCTGACTCTGGATGTCTGGCCCAAAAATGTGAGACAATAGCTTTCTACTATTTCAGAGCACTTAGTTAGTTATTGGTAACTTACTTATATTAACTCTGCAAACCTCATATATCCTCCTTTGTATTGGATTGTAATTCTGAATGATGGTTAAATAATACCAGAACCAACTTTCGCATTCAAAAAAAAAAATAATGAGAAGATCAAATAATAGGAAACATCATACATTGACAAAATATATGAACATATAAACATAAATAAAAAGAAAATAAGTATTTTGCTCAAAAAATAAATTATCTATGAAAGAAGTAGAATAGTTATCAAAAATATCTCTTAACACTAAGAAGCTAGTCAAAAGATCTAAAATTGATACAGTATAGGGCAAGCACTCGGCAGGCAGGTGATGGCTCAAGTAATTCATCTCCACTAGTGCTGTGGGAAATCCGGACAGCGTTCTGAGCCTCCAGCTTTAGCTACATCCATCCACACATGTCGTAGGAATTTGGAAAGTAAACCAACAGGAGGGAGTCCTCTTTGTATCTGCCTGTTCTTCTCTTTTCTTTTTTTTTTTTCCTTTCTTTCCTCTCTGTTTTCCAACAAGTCAAATTAATTAATCAATCAAAAGCAGGCTTACCAAAGGTGTGATATAGGAAATTACATGAAATTTTAAAGAAAAAAAGTGTGAAATAAAGTGAAATAGATGATCTTTTCAGATAATTAGTATCTGTAAATAAGAAACCTTAAATGTAATGACAAAAATTCATAGGAGAAGCTTCTACATATTGGAAGGATGTTGTATGCAGTACCATAGTCCACAGTTACATGATATGAGGTTTCATTTTGTGATTTTTCCATATTAATGTTAAAGAAAATCTTTACACATATCAAGGTGTCTTTAAGAAATTATTATAATGATCTTAGCCAAATAATTCTGTTCCTTGTTAAATTAAGACAGAGCTGTATAAGTGACTTTTTGACTTCTGGATTCTCTAATTCCTTCTCTGAATTTCTCTTATGATAGAACTTCAGTGAAAACTTCAGAAAACAATTGTAGCTGACATCCATGTAGATCTATGCTAAATATATTCATAAAATATACAAATGTTAGCTCATTAGTAATTGCAATCTCTGTAAGAGTTTACATTTTAAGAACATAATAAATCGTTATATTCTGTATCACTCAAACAGGAAAAGAAACCAACTTGTATAGTATGTATAAAATGAATATTTTTGGTGCAGATTTTCTGGGCATTTTTCTGCCTTCATTTTTGAAATATTGAATAGCAAAAAATAAATGTTCTATGTTTGACCAAAAAAATATTTATTTATGATTCATAGGAGTCAACAGGAAACTAGCTCAATAGCCACATGTCAATCCTCTGGTACTTTTTTCGGAGTGTGGATTGTGGAAACATGAAAATAGTTATGAAAGCGATATAATTTGTACCTGAAATGTTTACATTATGGTTCAGATGGTTGGTGCTACAAAGCTTGTTTCCAAAAGCATACTTTCCAAAGATAACAAGTGATACGAATGTGTCCAAGGGATGTTGTGTCCATCAACTATAGCAAATGACACAAGAAACCAGGACTGTGTTTTCTTATCTTTGTTTCTACATAGGGTTTGGCAGAAGACCTTGCACATTGGCCCTTAGTAAGTATTGAATGGTTAAATGAATATGTATTCAGACACTGCCTTCTGCAGGTAAAACATATAACATATGCATTTGAAGGTGAGAATGAATATAGAAATCATTTACACATGTCACTAGTGATGAGTAACACATACTTTGCTGAGAGACAAATAAAGCAGAGACATTCGTGACTAAATCTTGCCATTGCTCCACTTTTTACCCTGCTTTTATGATGACATCATAGACTATGCTTGCTCAAAAGCCTTCTAGAAGCTCTGATAGCTTGGAATTGCTAATTTACTGGAAAGAACTAATCCAAAAGTGTGTATAATGTGAATTCTTAGGAAGTTCTTTCTTCTTGTATGTGAACTATGCACTGTCTTCATCACCTCCCCTACCTTCTTACACTACGCTGCCTAGAAGTCATGACTGAGCATGTAGTAATCTTCGTTTCTACCTCTGTGTTTACAGTATCTATACAGTCTCATTATATTCTCTAAATTTCTGCCTCAACAATACAAGACAAAATGAGACAAAATGAAGTTTGTGAAGGCCACTGTTATGCATAATTTAAACATTTTATATTACATTAAACTTCTTTTAGTTACATGTTTTACAAAAATAAAATGGATTGTTAAGGATGTCAAAAAATGAATCTTAACTTTAGCTCTGTCAAGGTTGCATTCCTTAACTCTAATTTCAATGTCATTTTTTAAGGTAATTTCTCTTCCTTGTTTTATGATGGTAGGACATTGAATGGAATAAATACATTTTAATTCGCGATTTAAAAGTTTACATTATAATGCCTACATAATAGCTATGATCTCTAACACTGGTATGTTCATAATTCTATATAAGACAGATTCTTTTCCTGAAGTCTGAGGTTAAATTATAAAGTCTGGGATATGCTCTCAGTATATAAGGGATTAAATATATACTTGTTTATTATTCAAAAATTAAAAAAAAAAAACTATTCTTCATGCCTAATCAGCAGAGCCTGGAAAAATTATCTGTCTTAAAATACACGTAAGAACACCAGATATTATAAGATTGCTATTTTTATAACTAGAAAAGCCCTCAGTTTTAACCATATTATTTTATATTATTTATTACAGGACAGAATGATAGAAATTGGTAGCAATTGCCTGAATAATGAATCTAACTTTTTTAAAAAACATTCATGTGATGATAATAAGGTAATGATAACTGGAGTTTGTCATTCAAGCTTGGTTTTATTTAAGCTTTTTGTCTCTGTTAGATAATTATTTATATTAATAACATTCTTTCGGTTCTTACAAAATAATTCCCTTTGATCTATTAAATTTTTCAATGTGCAGCGTCTTCTTTAATACTTGTATATTACAAACAGCTCTATCTTTGTTAGTTTTTCATGTATTGCCAATATGTTTTTCACAATCATCAGAACTACTGAATCCAATGACACATATATTTCTTATTTGTAAGGTTCTTATGTAGGAAAAGAGTTGCTAAAATGATTGTTTTCATGCCTAAACATGTGAGTAATTGGTATAATTTAGCTGCAGTGTTTTGAAATTTTTCTTTCAATATTTACTTAGTTTAGGTTACTATCATGTTTACTCAGTATATCATTATAATTTACAAAAGTTCCAAAAGTTTGTGTAATTTCTACCTATAAAAAGTAGTGCACTTTTTGATATTTTCTTTAAAACTCAGAATTACTGAGTTCATCTCTTGGTATCTCAGAGTATAACCAGATTATTTTATTTCTTACGACAAATACTGGGAAAACACATGCTTTATATGACAATGACCCTTTGCTTTCCTAACATCACTCATTTATCCAAAGTTCAATATTTTCAAAAATAGTAAGAAAAGCCATACTTACCTTTCATCATTATTGCTTCTAGAAATATTCTTTGGTTATCTTATTGAAACCAGAATAATCCTGTAGATGCCATATATTAGTCCATAAACGAAAAGGTCACACTTATATAATAAAGAAAAGAGATTTTAAGAGTGAGCTAAGCATTAAGCCAAGCTGTAGTCACTTCTTGCTGCCACCTGGGAACTGTCCAGTTTCAGTTCCATTGCTTGTCAGTCACATGATAAACTGGAAAAGAAAACTGGGTTAGAGGCGGGGTATTGCAGAGCAATACCGCTCCAGCTGTAGGCTTTTTAAAGAAGCTTATCATTTGTCAATACTTTATTTGAACCAGCCCTTGTTCCTTTCTATTACAATAGGAAGCTGCTTTTCTAGAACGTGCTGCTCGTAAGTTGGATCAATTTCACAATATGAGTATCTCGGATCAAGCGAATAATACGAGTATCAATGAGGATTTCCAAAACCACTTAAAAATAGTATCAAAAGGCACATTAACTGTGGTGAATTGCACTGGTAAGGTAAGCTAAGGAATATTTACTTTGAACAAAAACTTCTATTATTCTCTGATGATCATACAAATTAACATAGAATTTTAAATGCTTACTGTAGCTTAAGGTTGAGATATATTTATTCAATTCTAGAAAAAAAAAAGTCAAAATCAGAAAGTACCTCTCCAAGGTACTAGGGTGAGTTCACTCTATCCAAGGCTAACGTGACTTAAGGATTTGTGAATGGGGACAGTAAAAAAACAAATGAACAAATAGTTTGTTGCTATAATTTATTCCAGGAATTCAGTGGTGATAAAATGTGGTGGGGAAGTTTTACTTTTTATAAAGATTTGCCTATTTGTTTGAAAGTCCATCATAGAAAGAAAGGAAGGGAGGGAAGTGAGAGAGAGAGAGGAGTAAGGGAAACTATTATTGCTTTATCTACTTGAGGAAAATCAGTCTGAGCTTGATAGCCTTCATCTGACAAGCTTATTTCTAATTTTGTGCCTTTACTTTCATTGTTGGTTCCCTAAGGGAGATTATACTCTGCTCATTCAAGGCACAGCTCAAGATTCCTAAAGAGTTCATAGTTTAATCTAATGCTCCTATTCCTACTTACAGTAATTCCGACGTGCCAACTCAGGAATAACACATTTTCCTGTTGTTGTACATGCCGTTGCGTAGTAGTAACTGTTGGAAATAACATGCTGAATATAAGCCTCGGTGTGGGCTTGCCTGAAAGGAGTGCAGAAAACATAAATGATTTCATGCTTTGCATAGGAAGAGGTAAGAGTGTAGATAGGTTCTATACTTGAAGATCCCTCTTTCATATATTGAACATTGCATAGATTATTATATTCTTAAAACAACTGATTATAAAGGGAAATAAATAAATGTTGAAACTATACTTCAACATTAACAAAATTGACATCATTCACTTATTGAAATAGAAAGGCAGGATATTAAGGATAGCTACACAGAGTATAAGCTTTTTTGCTGTTTCATTTCATTTTGCTTCTGTGAAGTGCAGCTAAATAAAGAAATGGCTAGGCTTTAACAATTAAATGTTAATGTTTTGCATGTTCATTTAAATTCAAATATCTTAGATGAATAAATTTTATGTGAAAATCCACAATTACAATCATTGGGAGGAACAGTAAAGGATTAATTCTTACTCTTATAAGTGTGACTTTGTTTTTAAGATTATAGAAAGAAAACTACCATCCCAGGTAGAGCCCAATTAACGAAGAGTTTAGTGAAAGCAATTGTGTACTTCTATTTATAGTTCATCAGTTTTTATACAACTTAAATTCCTTAATATTTCTGATACATTCCTTTTTTATGGTTGTTTTTGAAAATATCTATTTTAATATCAGTAAACAGAGATGGAAAATTCCTCTTAAAAAAACAAATTCCCTTTAACTGTATTTTTAAAAAGTCACTATTTTGAAACGAAAACAATGAGAGGATTATATTTTAAATCAATAAAGTCGTATCAACAGATAATAGGCAAAGACACTAAGAAAACACATGAGGGCAAAAAAAGCTAGAAAATAAGTGTCTGGCAAAAAAAAATGTGTTAATCTGACAAAAATGGATAATAAGGATCTATATTATGCCTATTAGTATAAAGTACGCAGTATTGATTTTACATAATAGTGTTTGAATATTCTGTTTTTTATATATATATATACACACACACATATACTTTTGTTTACTAGTACACTATATAGCAAAATGGAAAAATTTTTAAAGATTTATTTATTTCATAGAAAGGTAAAGTTGCAGAGACAGAAGGAGAAACACAGAGAGAGATTTTCCATCCACTAATTCACTGCCCAAATGACAGTAATGTCCAGACCAAAGCAGGTAACAAGAGCCTCTTCCAGATTTCCCACGTGGGTGCAGGAGCCTAAAGCCTCAAGCCAGCGTTCACTGCTTTCTCAGGCCATAATCAGGGAGCTGAATTGAAAGTGGAACAAATAGGCCCAGAGCAATAGTCTAGCAGCTAAAGTTCTCACCTTGCATGTACCGGGATCCCATTTGGGTGCTGGTTCTAATCCTGGTCGCCCTGTTTCCCATTCAACTCCATGCTTGTGGCCTGGCAATGCAGTTGAGGATGGCCCAAACCCTTGGAACCCTGCATCCTTGTGGGAGACCTGGAAGAGGCTCTGAGCTCCTGGCTTTGCATTGGCTCAGCTACGGCAGTTGCAGCTGCTTCGGGTATGAATCAACAGACAGAAGATCTTCCTCTCTGTCTCTCCTCTCTGTATATCTGACTTTCAATAAAAGTATATAAATCTTTAAGGGAAAAAAAAAGTGGAGCAACCAGATTCCAACTGGCACCATATGGAATGCTGACACCGCAGGTGGAGGCTTGCCATGTCACACCCCCAAGCTGACCTCTAGCAAAATGGAAAACATTTGTGAGTATATAAGATAGAATATATAAAGAAAAAACCGTGATTAGAGTAGGACATGAGAAATGAACATAGCTGATCCATATGAGGGGTAAGTTCCTTGGTATTTCTATAATTATGACCATGAGGTTTGATCAATAGATACAGAAACATGGATATGTGTTTCATACTCCTAGAGAAATAGGGTGAAATCATATCCTGGGGCTCAGGAAACCCCAGCAATTCCACCTGAAATGGAAGAAAGGAAATAAATGTATGAGCTTAAAGCAAGGTGAGCAGTTTGTCGTTTGGCATTCAGCTCTTGGTAAACTGGTTCCATTGCCTCCTAACGACTGCAGAATTTGCAGACTCATATCCCTTGTCTAAAATGACATAATGCATGCCTAGTCCACACAATCCTACTGTGCACTTTAAATCATCTCTAGCATACTTTCACTGCCTAATAAAATGCAATGATTACAGAAATGTCTGTTGTTCTCTATTATTTAGGAAATAACACTAAAAAATCTGCATGTGTTCAGTACAGCTACAATTATCACGATTATTTTTGATCTGTGATTGACTGAAACCATGCCTGTGAAAACTTTAAATACACTTAATAAGCAAATTTCACTTAAAAATCCAAATGCATTTACTTAAATTTAAAATATTACTTCATATTCACCTTTGAAATCTGTTGTCTAATCTTTGCCATATGTCATTAAAAGATATGTGTTAAAAAAAAAAGGTATGTGTTAGCGTTACTAAGTATACAAGTGATCAGAATTTATGAATAAACAGATGAGCTCACAATATACTCACTGCTGTTACTTGGCCTGTGATCTTGGCAGTGTATTATTCTCTTTGCAAAATGGGATGAAATCAAGTTCATAGGATAAGATGTAGCAGCACTTGTAAACCCTGGAACATAAAGCCTGATCTAGAAAACAGGCAATGACTGGTCATTATCTAAGTGAATAATTACTTTAGGTGTGCTAATTCCACTTCTTGGGGTCAAAGGGCTCAGAGGGATATAACAGTCTATGCAGAACTATTCATTAGGAATAGGAATGCCCATTCCTTGTAAGATAACTGTTATTCCAGTTTCTATAGGTTGTATAGAAATTATAACTTTCTGTATAAATTACAGTGTATAATTTTAAGACTTATATCATTACAAAAAAGTAGCACATGAAAGAAACATCTGTCACATTCCATTGACTACTTTTAGAGTAGATTCTAGGACAAAAGCTCAATCAGTTATATCTTTATTAAGCAGTTTTGCCAAAATAATATAAATGTTCCTTGCTAATTATTTCATCAACCATAAATGCATTATCCATATTTTAAAATTTAATCTACAAGTACCTTCTGATGTAAATTTAAACAATAATATATCCATTGTTGGTTTATGAAAGTGGCAGCCAGATGATGGTTCATGGATAAAACTTATATCTTAAAATTACATCTATCTTGAACTTTCTACATGTTAAATATCATGTATACTTATAGTTAAAAATTAGGGTTTAAAAATGTGCAACATTATGCTTTTCTCATTATAGTAGACTTTCAGTATATCATATCATATGGAAATGAAAGATTGCACATTTTAAAACAAGTGATTTTATTAAAATGTGAAATTTAAATTTTTTAAATATATTTCCCTAGGAAGAAAAGAAACCTTTAAAGGATCAGAAAAAGAATAACCGGTGTTTCCTAAAGAAATTACTACAAAAGATAAAAACTTGTTGGAACAAAATTTTGAGGGGAATTAAAGAAAACTGAAAAATGTGGAGTGGCAGTATAGAAAAAATTAAACTGTAGTGCATTCCCCCAAGTATATATCTACTTATACAATTTTAGGGAGGGAAGAATACCTCCTAGAAGTTACTGAACGCATCCAAGCAGAAAAGGATTACAGCACTTGAAAGACTGATATTCTACGACAACTTGGACGCAGCAATGGAAACTGAACGCTTCACTCAAAGTATTTCATATGCATGCTGACATATTTCAATCATAGTAATTCTGTGTTGATTATAAGACAATCTATGTTAGGTATCAGTTGCAAAAATTCTTTTTAAATTTGTATAAATAACTCAGGAGAAGATATCAAATCTAGCAAGTATATACAAAAGCTACAAGGATTCAAAATCAACACTGCTTTATACTCAAAATAAGGTTACACTGCATTAGTATAGTATATTAAGAATGGATATTGTCATCTATGCTGGAGATGTTTTAGGGTTAATACTTACATATGAATAATGTCCATGAGAACAAGAAAGCCATATACCTTTAACAAGCAGCAACATAAAGAAGTTCAAGACAAATAGCAGACATAACATGAGATGTAATCAAACATGCATGTATAATATGAGTCCCTTCATGAAGTGATATATCAAATATTTTTGAGTGGAAATAAGGTTTGTAATAAAAACAGAGATTCACCTCATCCAAGGATGCTATATGTTAGTATTGAGTTACTTTGGTCATTTATGTATAATAAAACTTGTCTAAGTGGGTTTTGATTGATGAGTCTGGAAAGTATATTTTTAAGAGAATAATATATGTTGAACTCTTAACCTATGGAATGTATATATTTAACACTATGTATATAAAATATTTTCATATAGTAATTAGAAATACTTTGGATACCATTTCTCTTGATAATAAATTTTGTATGTATTAATACTGTCAGATTCAGTGAATGAAGCATAACAGGATTAAACATGTTTTGGCTTTTAATAGGTTCAATGCAGTTCTGAGAATATGATGCTATTGCCTTTCACCCTTACTCCTTACCCAACAGTATTTGTGATAACCTACCACTCCTTGTTCTTTCATATTCTGTGAGTACATGACTTTAGTACCTGATTATTGAGAATCAATGTGGGATCAGGATGTCAAAACTACGTAAGACTGGGAACACTGCTTTCTAAGTTAAATACTAGTCTTTCATAAGGAATTTTGCATACACTAGGGCCTGTTGAGAAAAACCTGAAATTCTTGTTCATTTACAGAATGATATAAACACTATTCTAGGCAAGAAAATGTACAGAAGAGTAGCAAAGCTAGTCCAGGATAGTTCCATATCAAATGTGCCTTTTTCTAATGGCACATCTAATTAGTCTGAATATTTATCCAAACTAGGAAAGTGAGTAGCTGTGCTCTGCTATGCATGGTAGGATATATATATAGTGGCATCCTGGGTCTCTGCCATTTAGAGGTGAGAGACATTCTCCCACAAATAGTAATAATAGACCTTCAATGCCCTATGAAACAAAATCACTCAGCTGAAACAGTTCTAGAAGTTATGCATGTTTAAGTACAGAACATATTTTAAGCTTCTTGTGTAAGATGGAAAGTGTATATTAAGGTTCATTTAATTGCATGTGGACATTCACCTATTTATCATTTGTTGAGAAGACTGTACTTTCTCAAATTTCCTTTGTATTTCTATAGAACTGAACAAATTATATTTGTGTGGATATATATATATGTATGTATAGATAATGTTCTACTCTATTCCAATCATCTGTATGTCGATAATTTATCCATGTCATGATTAGTATATCATCATCATAAGTCTAAAAATTAGGTCACTGTGTGTTTTTTTTTCCTTTTTCTGATATTCTTGTTCTTTTGTCTTTTCATATACAGTTTATGATCAGCCCGTTAGACCACTAAAATGCTTACAGGAATTTGAGGAGAAATTGTTATTAAGCCTACAGTTTAAACTGGGGGGTGCAAAGTTTATTGTTTGACCTAAGGAATACAGTATGATTCTGTATTTAGGTCTTTGAGTTCTTCCATCAAGTTTTATATTTTCCAGCATACAACCCCTAAACATATTTTAGTCAACATATATGCGTAAATACTTGGGTAAGTTCATGTGTGTAATATTACAAATGGTATTTTTAAATATAAAGTGATCCTGCTTACCGTTGTCATATATAAATAATTATTGCTATTGTACATTGTCATTGTATCCTGTGATCTTGATAAACTCACTTGTTAATTCAGCCTTTCTATGGATTCTGTGGGATCATCTATATAAGCAGTCATGATGCTGGCAAATAGTGATCCATTCTCTGTGCTTATAGATACTTGTGAAATCTCACATTTTAAATTCTTATTTTATCTTCTGCATAGCACCATCAGAAAAAAAATATGATTTTTTTTTTTAGCTTTGTAGCATGAAGACACTAGGTATATTCAGTTTTCCTTTTTAAACAATCTATTGCTCCATCATCAAAATGGCTGATGCATTACTACTCAGGGATCTTTACACTGACATAGAGAATATTTGTATCGGATTAATACTAATAAAGAGTTACTGAGAGTTTTTTGTATTTCTGCATTTTTATTTTAACTGCATCTCAAATATGCCAGTTTAAAGGTTATCACAAATAAATAATAGGTCAAATCATTACCTGCCAAGTTTACATCTGCAAGAATTTTGCACAACCCGACTTGAACTAAGTGGCTCTGTTCTTTGCCATGTGAATTTATGCCTCTGTCTCAAATACTGAGAAAACACAGAAGGGAAATTGCACTGAGTGAAACCAATTAATAGTTGGCAGTGTTATATGTCAAAGCTCAAAAAGATATGCTTATTTAGGTGATAAGAATTTGAGCTACAATTCCACATGAATTTACTCTAAATGGCTGAAGTAGTAGTCAAGTTTAGTCAAATTGGGCAATGGCAAGATAAAGAGGTGAGGAAGCAAACAATACTTACCAGTGAGTAAAGGAATACACGAGCTAAGTGAGCCGCTGAGGTTGATAGATGGACCAATCCTTTGAGCTTCCTAAGGGACTAACCACTTTTCGGTTCTGCTCCATCTTGCACCTTATATAAAATTCCTTTTCTCTGGTTAATTTGGAAGGACCCCTATCACTTATATCTGAAAGTGCCATTGAAACTGTTTTCCATGAATGAATGCGGAACAAAGAATGAAAAGTTTGTGTATAAACATTAGGTACTATTTTAAGAAAGTAAAAGAAAATGAATGACTAAAATGTGCTCCATGATCAAGACAAAGCAACTGAGTCAACAGCAAACAGGAATTTATTTCCCTCCCACTTTTGTATTTTTTATTGTTACTATTATTTTCTATGACATGGCTTTCTAGACAGGGGATGCCCATTCCACCTCTCCTTCCTCCATCCACATTATTCCCTACCACCACCATCCCCCCCCCCCCATATTATTACAATAGTATAGTCCTACAGCAACAGTCACAAGTCCACCATTCTGCTATTCAAGTATAGGTATTAGAAATTCTGAAAAAATCTAGTATCATAGTCAAGGCATATTTAACAGGAAACAGATAAAGAAACTGTGATATATCTACTCCATGAACTACTTCTAAGTCATTAAAAAGAATGAAATTCTACCATTTCCACCAAAATGCTCCCAACTGGAGACCATTATGTTCAGTCAGTGAAATAAGCCAATCCCCAAAGGACAAATACCATATGTTCTCTCTGACATAAGGCAATAATCGTGCAAAATACAAAACAATTAGAAATATAGGTAAACATGTATTTATATACATATATATCCTCAATAGATGAACTGCATAATGAAGACTAAGAAATTGGTTAGGGAAGATAGGCTGTGCATGTATCTCTGTTCTCGAATAAAAGGAGGACTCCTATGAGTAGACCCACAGATGGCAGAGTAGTGGACAGGAGAGCAGTCTTACGAAATGAGAAAACTTCTCTTTTTATGTTAAACCAAGGGGTGGGACAAAAGCCTCAGTTTGTTTCAACTCTAAGTCATCACGTGAGCACGTTTTTCTGAAAGCTAAATGCTCAGAATGCTTTATGTGGTCAATGTAAGTTCATACGGCTATTTCAGAGAGGAATGGGATACAACCACCATCTCTTGCTTTGTTTCTCACTAACTTGGGGACCAAATAACATAAGAGTATTCAGATTATTTATTTAAGTGAGACCATATTACTCTCATATTCAAATCTTAATCTGAATGAGCCAACCTCATATTTATGCCACCCAGAACATACACTATATGGCTGCTTGGTTACCTGATTTAACTTTCTACTCTCTACCCACACAGACAAACTGTTCAGGACTACCAGGAATGTGGCTTTACCACAGACCTACGGAGTTTATTTTACTTTCATTATGAAATGTCCTTTCCTCTCCTATCTACCTATATACTTTAACCTTAATGAATAAACTTAAAGAGAGAGCATTCAAACCTCAGGGGTACTCAATACAAATATAAGAACAATAAACAAGTAGTAATGGCTTAGCCTCTCTCAAGTTTGTGCTCACAGATCACTTTATCAATGAAATCAACTCTAAACATTGGAACTAAAATTGTAATCGACTCCCACTCTCCCCGTCTACCTTCTAACCACCCTCCTACTTTTTCTATATAGCATTGTCATTATTTAAGATAAAGTATTTTAACTTATTAATTGTCCATGTTTTCATTCTTCCTTTACTATAATGTGACCTTCAAAAGGGCAGGCAATCTTGACTGCTTTGCTTATTATACATAGGAAAGTGTCTTAGCCAGAATTAACATGTAATATGTACATCACCTTGTAACATAAGCAAAATTATGTAATAAAAAGTATCAGTAAGAACCTGGTATTGGGCATTGTGACAAGATTTTATACAAAATGTTGATAACCCTCAAATTAGTCCAACAAAATAGAGGCCAAAGTCAGCAAAGATTTAATATTGTCCTTCTCAACAGTGTGAAAACACCCTGCCGCCACTTCCTAAGTAACAGGATCTTTCAGAGTACCTCAGCAGTGGACAAGGAAGCATCTACTGTCCCTTAGGAATGGACTCTTCCAGAACCATCGCAGAAGAACGACTGATTCCATTATTTCATTCTGCATATATGCCACACCCTGTGTGGGAAAGTGACATGCCTCCTTATCAATAATCAGGTCTGTTAACTACCTCAATTTTCAATGATGTACTCCTCAACTATCTATGTGATTGATAACTATACATAATGTTGTATTCCAACCTGATTCAATGCAAGTACACACCCTGTTAAAAAAAAAAAAGAGGGGTACAAAGCCTATTATCAAACTCAGGCTTTTCTGAGCAGCCAATTCAAGAAATTACTTTTTATTTTTTTTTTCTTCCTTCTTCCTTCCTTTTCTTTTCCTTTCCTTTCCTTTCCTTTCCTTCTTTCCTTCCCTTTCCTTTCCTTTCCTTTTTTTTTTCTTTCCTTTTTCTCTGTCCAGTGATTTAAACCTTTAGCTTGACTAGCTGAATAAGCTTTCACTTTGCTTTTTCCAGCAGATTTTGTCAGTAAGAGGTAAAATTATACCTGAAATATATTAAGTCAGTTTACAATTATCTAATACCATGATAGGAATGAAAAAGGATGTTAATTTAGCTTCTCTTAAACATTTCCTCATTATCACAGCCATTGTAGAAGAGAAGCAGAAGATCACATTACTTTGTTGAAGCTTTTGCATGCCAATGGAAGGCCTTAGTGCAACAGATGTAAGCAACAAGGAATTAGTAAAACACTGTCAGGTAATTCCTATAGTCCTCTGGAGAACCAGATTGTAAGCGTGGAAGTTGCCCAGCAGAAATAATACCCAAATAGTAATGACAGATGATTCTAGCAGAGGACAAAATCAATGCAAGTGCTCTCCCAGGGAGCAGGTCACATTTTGTGATGAGGATGCCATTTCGTGTCTGCCTACTAAATCCCAGCGATTACAACAAGCAATGCAGATTGCACAGTCTTTGCCTTCTATGACCTGCTGCAGAAGCAAAATCTCTTCGGTCGCTCCCAAGTAACATAACTACTTGTAGCTATGGAAAGGATGGAAAATAAAACTCCGGCTGAGTCTGAGTCATTGAGATTTAATATAGAAAAATCATTAAACCAGGAGGAATTAAAAAAAAATGCTAGCCATAAACACATACATGCCTATTACTGATAATTTAGGGTATATTACAAACCAAGCTATTTTTTTCTCTAGTACGTTACGTGAGCTGTAATTAATTCTACGATCGTCCAGTATGGTAATAGATCTGTGACAATTAGTAAGATCTCCAACAGCCCCCCTCTGTCCCCCAAATAACTGTTGATGGTATCTATGAGGAGAAGAAATCTTTCTGTTGATACAAGAGGGATAACCATGAAAGCATTTACCAAAATGGCCATGAGAAGAGGGTCTCACAGAGAATTTTTGAGCTGGGCTTGCACACAAGCTGCTCATTCAACTGCTTTGATATCATGTATAGCCAGACATATTGTTGAAATATCTATTGTTTAAGATTTTCAAATTAATATCTAATGGCACAGAATGTTTTCAGCAAATCATGGTTGAGAAATTAGGGTTTAAAATGAAACTTTTCATTCCTGTTTCTTTGTGAGATCTATTTTTTTTTTCCTGTAAGGATTCTCAAGTGTGATATTAGTAAAAATCCTGGACTAACATTATGAGAATCAGAACAAAAAAATATTTTAAGTTTTAAAAGGAATATGCAAAAGTAGATCTACGTTATCTTTATACAGACATATGAATATATAAAAACATATATCCTCACTCTAGCTTGATACCATGACCAAATAGCTTTTAAATATTTAGACCAAGTTTATCTTTCACTTTGTGTGCTATGAAGCAAAAATCCATGTTTTAGAATATCTTCTTGAGTTAAATTCAGGAAAAATGATTACATTAATTCTTTTACCTTCACATATCATTTTCAGTAATAAAGGTATTATGAAAATTATCTATTGCAGCTGACATTGTGGCAAAGTGCGTAAATTCACTGCCTCACATTCTGGCATTACATAGAGGTGCTTGTTCAACAGTAGGCTGCTTCACTTCCAATCCAGCTCATTGCTAATGTGCCTGGAAAAACAACAAAAAATATGAAAAGGGGAAGGGAAGGGGAGGGGAAGGGAAGGGGAGGGAAGGGAAGGGAAGGGAAGGGGAAGGAAGAGAAGGAGAGAGTCTAACAGTGCTGCAGAACTCTATCAGTTCCTTTATAATTAAAACAAACATGATGCATTAAACTGGGTGGGAGTGGGCATTTGATGGAGGTCAGGATGCTGCTTGAGATGTACACATCCCACCTTCGTGGTTTGAGTGCTGGCTCCAGTTCCAAATCTAGTCTCCTGCTAATACAGACTAGAAGAGGTTACAGGTGATGGTTCAAGCCATTTGGGCCCTTGCCACCTCTGTGGGAGACACAGGCTGAGTTCCTGCTCCAAGTGGTAGAACGGTAAAGTACAGCCATTTCAGGCATGCACTTGACGAGGAAATGGGAGCTTTCTGGCTCTCAAATTTAAATGAAGAATTTTTCAAAAGGAATCACTTCTTTTTGCCCTAAGTTGCAATCACTTTGGTTTCACATCAGCTATTATAAATAAATCATACCAGTTTAATAACAGAATTAACCACATCATATTCTCTTGATAGTGAAGATTTTATAGAATGAGCACATACTTTTCAAAATATTTCTAAGCATAAAGTTTTAGCTTTTCACATCTTACAGTAATTGGAATATCCACTAATGTAATAGCTATTAACTAATAGAAGCCAGCTTGCCAGATTAGATATTAATTTAGGGCAAATGAGAAAAAAAAAAAAGATCTTTACGCTAAGATCTTAACCTACTAAACTGCACTATAGCACAGATGAAAGATTAGTGCAACTGTTCCAGTTATTTGGCAACGTGAAAGCTTAAGATTCACAACTCTGGTAATAAAATATTGTAAAGTATAAATTCTTACTATTCCTCTCAATTACTACTAGTTGGTGGCATAACAGATTGAATTAGGTTTTTAAAATAAGTTCAACAACTTTGAATTATTAAAATCATAATAAAAGAAATTAAAGTCTCTTTATTCCTATGCATGAAAAAGGGAAGGAAAAAATTTATCAAAATTATCAGAAAAAAAATCATTCTTATATTGCTGAAGCCTGTCAACTTAACATAGTAATTCAGACTAGCAATTACACTATGCATTATCCACAAGCACCCTCTAGTGGCAAAAGAAGCAACTCACACATTACATTAAGAAAACATATTTACCTTGGCATCCTGAGTATTTTATTTTTCCAAATGAAAATAAAAACAAGTATGGCTACAAATAACTTAAAAAAAAAAAACCAATTAGTTGTTGTGACATTCAATAATATAACCATTTGTAAAAAAATAACCTTATCACTCAAAATATATTCATCATACAAAACATGCATTACACACATAATTCTCACTGATTTTTTCTATGTACTTCCATTATTTTCCAATCTTTTACTTATATTTTTACTGCAGATAACTCTACATTTTTAAGTCTAAATCATAAAATATTATAAAACAGCTTCTGCTATGACATCATACCAGTTACAAATAAGTTTCCTATTAATTTGACATCACTAATGTTTTTAATTACTATTTCTTATTTTAAAGATTTATTTTTATTTGAAAGGCAGAATTACAGAGAAAGAATCTTCCATATGTTGCCTCACTCCCCAAATGACCTCAAAGGCAGAAACTAGAAGATGATTCCAGGTTTCCCATGCAGGCAATTTTCTGCTGCCTTCCTACACACCTTAGTGCTGGATTAGAAGTGGAGCAGCTCCGATTCTCTCCGTCACCCATGTGGGATGGCAGAGGTGCAGGAAAAGGCTTAGCCTGCTACACCACGGTGCTAGGCCCAATTGCTAAGTTTTATTAGATGTGAAGATAATGTCTGTATACTTGAAAAAGTATCTATAATACTGTCATGATATAATCTAGTAGTAAGAAAAATTTAAAGAGGCCATCAAAAAGCCAGTAAAAGCTACCTTCTCATTTTTCTTTTTTAAGATTTATTTTATTTTATTGGAAAGTCAGATATAGAGAGGAGGAGAGACAGAGAGGAAGATCTTCCTTTCGATGATTCACTCCCCAAGTGACCTCAACGGCCGATGCTATGCCAATCCGAAGCCAGGAGCCAGGAACTTTCTTCCAGGTACCCCACACAGGTGCAGGGTCCCAAAGCTTTGGGCCATCCTTGACTGCTTTCCCAGGCCACAAGCAGGGAGCTGGATGGGAAGTGGAGTAGCCGGGATTAGAACCGGCGCCCATATGGGATCCTGGCGTGTTCAAGGTGAAGACTTTAGCCGCTAGGCCACACCGCTGGGCCCTACCTTCTCATTTTTAAAAATCTATACATTTCAGTTCAAATATTTCCTGATCAGTGAGTTCTTATCTACTTACATGTTGCTAGAATCAATGAATACCAACTAGCATATTTATGCTTTGTGTCTTTATTGAATTGACTCGAAAAAGATAACATCTTGATAAAAACACTTAAGAGACAACAAACAGCAGCCACATTCTTACTTTTTCAAGCTAACGACTTTCAGAATAATATATAATTTTTACAATTTAATTTAAGCTTATCATTTCTTATTCTACTACACAAATACTTGTGAAAATAAATAAAATGATGCATAGAAAATTTTCTCAACAAGAATTGCACAAAAAATCAATGTGAGAACAAGATATGCAATATGAAATGCATTTAAATTGTCACATGTTTATATGTCATAAATATATTTCATCTACTTACTGCTTATAATAATCTTTGAGGCCTGGATTAGATCATCTCTTACCAATTCAATTTCATTTGGCAGACTACAACATTTACTTGCTACTATAAAATTCAGTGAGAAACAAACATATGCCAATTTACTCACCTTTTAAAAATTTTTTGTTATTTAGTTTAACCTACCCCTGCCTTAAGCACACACGAAAAAATTATACAATCTTTAAAAATACTAGAATGAAAATAGTGCTCATTCCTAAGATAAAAGAAAGTGTTCAGTGCTCCTCATCTGATTTCTGACAATGAGGATAGAATAAACATAACGAAGAGGAAGCCCAATGCATACACAAGTCTTTAAACACATTATAGCTTATTCTAGCTGATGGATATTTGCTTTTTCTTTATCAATATGACTGAATATGATAGAAAGGAAAATACTAATAAAAATTATCAGGAAGAAATCTATAAGGTACACAAAAATAATAATCCTATAAATAAACTAGGTTTAAACTCCTGCACAAATCAACAATAAAAAAGCAAGTAAGAAAAATTCAGAATTTCTGAAAAACTATAACCTACAATTTTTTACAATGAATACAGTTGATCAGAATCATAAACAAGCTAGAGATTACATAAGATATAAAAGGTTTGCTTCTACCTTTTTAAGATGTTCACTTACATTTGACTGAACTGAAATTACTACAAAATGACTGATTTCCTACTAAACACTGTGTCATCCTAAAAATGACGATGATTGAAAGCTCATTTTTAGTCGAGCTGAAGAAAAAAATACAAACTTTTGTATATATTTAGTTATATAACAGGTTGGTTACACATTAAACATATTTTGACTTTGAGATGTGAATGGTGATTCAATACTAAACACTAAACAAAATGAGTAGGAAAAATGAAATATCCTTTTATCCTACTCACATCTGTATTTAAATATACGTCAAGGAACTAATATTCAAATACTTTTGACTTGCATGCTCAGCACTAATGATTAATACTGTGGTTATTATTTATTAGGTGAAGTGCCTTAAGATGTATTAGAAATAGTTTATTCTAAATTCAGTTACACAAAAATAAAAAATTTTAAACATGTAGGATATAACAAAAATTTATAAAAATGAAGCAGTAAACTAAAAGTGCTCCATAAAGGTTTTGGAAAAGAAAAAGGAATGAGAAATTTGGCAACATGATTAGAATGCAGGAAGAAAACATAATTGTTCAACTAATTCACACAAAAGTTTTAAAAGCTCATTTGGTTATAAATTAGACATGTCTTTAAATTTGTGTCTCTGAAAAGAAATGCATCATTACATTTTCACAGAATGAGTAGTAATAATCTTTACATAATTAATAATACGCTGTGAGCAATGTCGATCTCGGGGGGTCTACTGCTTGCATTTTTTTTAGGATTTATAAAATTAGCTATAACTTAATTAAAAATCTCAATAGGAAAATGACCTCACAAACCCAATAGTACTAAAATCATTATCCTCAATCAGTAAATTCAGAATATGCCATCCTATCACACCACTATCTAGAGACAGGCATCAATAATGAAAACAATCACTCTGATTTGTTTTTAACCTTCTGATTACCCCAAGTGTGAAGCATAAAGTCTGAGAATTTGTGGACACATACACTGAATGTGCCTGCACTACAGGAGAAATGTAATACCTAAGTTAATGGTTCCATTAGAAATTATTTTCTGAAAGACAAGTATTTCCTTGCATGGTATAGTTTAAGGAATATCATCAGGTATTTATTCTATACAGCTTATGTACACATATATACAAATACTCATAATACAACCATAAGATATGTGCCCAAAATTACCAGTAAAGATATTTTGAATATTTTTAGCACAAAATAACCAGAGGAAGTGCTCTAGCTGTCCAAGCAGCAATAATCATAGAATTCTGAACCTGGTTCTTTTTCATCTGGGTTGCTATTCATAGAAGCATTCTCCGAACGCCACATTCACAACAGAACTTCGCCCATTCTACAGGGTATTTAGTCCCACACTCGTGGCAAAATTTTGGTAAGTGTCCAGATGAATTTCCTTCAGTGCTTCTAATGCTTCCACCATTAAACGAAGATGTGTAGTCCCCATCTGGCCTGGAAAAGTATAGGAGAAAACAGAAATACAAAGTTCTCATCAGCTTTTCATTGAGATGTGAATGGTGATCCAACATTAGGCACTAAACAAAATGAGTATGAAAAATTATTCTTTTATTCTACTCACATCTACAATTAAATATAAATCAAAGAACTAATATTCAAATACATAAGACTTGAGAAAAAATAAAATATAATAACTTACTCAATCTCATTTTCAATAGTCTTCTAGTTCAAATTCTAAGAGAACTCCTGTTAGTACGTATCATAATTTTAAAAGCCCTCTTTAACAGATCTGTCAGTGTTAGAATTTATCTTGACCAAAGATAGTCAAACTTCCGTCTCTTCTCTGTGTAGGCATTTGGTACACTAAACCCTCATACAAAGAAAATCTAAACTCACAGAGAAAACCAAGGGTCTTCGGTTTCCAGGTCTCCCTCCTCAGTTAGAAGGATTGTGACGTGAAATCTCCATTAATTTACTCTTTAATTTTATTATTCAATTAGATCAAGCTATTGTGACGTGATGGTAAGCACTTGTGCATGTCATGATGGGTTATTTAATTCTATAAGAATGTCTTCTCTCTCTTCTGAGAATATGATGTTTACTTTAAAATCACCACAAAGGGAACTTCTCATCACTGGAAGATTATAAGCATGGTACTCCTAGAAAATAAAATATTCTTTCTCCGCAGAAATTTATTGAAGAATTCTAGTTAATTCACAATTTTGGTATGATTTTCATACCTTTTGGGAATAATAAAGAATTCTTAAAAAGTCTGGCCTTGTGAAACTGCTGGGTTAAGCTGCTGCTTTAGGGACACATACAGCCCATATTACAGTGCTTAAGATCAAGTGTGAACTCCGCTTTCAATCCCGTTAATACTCACTGTTGGGAGGCAGCACACAACAGCTCAAGTATTTAGGTCCCTGACATCATGTGGGCCCAGCAGGGAAATAGTGGGCACCTCCGTCTTGGGTTTCTTCTCCAACCAGTGAGCATGAGAACCAGAAGTGGGGCAGCCATGGCTAGACAGAGTGGCATCCACTGGCATGTGTATGGGCTGGATAGCGTGGCTGGTTGGGTTGAACTAGGCTCAATGCCCATTGACATGTATGAGAGCTAAAAGGGATATGGGACAGACCGAACCAGTCTGCTGTACATACTGACAAGCACGAGAACTGGGATAGAGTGTGGGCCAGGTGGGGATTATTGCAGGTTGCTCTGATTAGGCTGCAGCTCCCACTGGTGTACATGAGGGCCGAGTGTGTGATGGGCAAGATCGGACTGAACTGCAATACCCATTGGTTTGTGTAGAAGACAGTGCTGAGAAACAGAACTGACCCAGCATATGCATTAGCTGACTGGGGTGGCTCACTGCGCCAGATCCTGCACTGGCAAGCAGACACAAAGAATCAGGTCTGGGATCACCTCAGATAAATTCTCTTTGAGGATCCCCCCAACACGATAGTCTAGTGTCAAAAGCTCTTGCCTTGCTGCACTGCTGGTTCCTATTCTGGCTGTTCTACTTCCCATCCAGCTTCCTGTTTGTGGCCTGAGAAAGCAGTAGAGAGGATGGTCCAAAGCCTTGGCAGACTAAACTGGGTGAGAGACCCAGAATAAGCTCCTGGCTCCTGGCTTTGGATCAGCTCAGCTCCAGCCAATGTGGCCACTTGACAGTGAACCAGTGGATGGAAGATCTTTCTCTCTGCCTCTGCTCCGTAAATCCGCCTTTCCAATTAAAACAAATCTTTAAAAACACTTTTTAAAAAAGATTTATTTATTTTTATTGGAAAGGCAGATATACAGAGAGGAAGATCTTCCTTCCGATGGTTCACTTCACAAGTGACCATAACAGCTGCTGCTGAACCTCTTCCAGGTCTCCCACGTGGGTAGGGTCCCAAAGCTTTGGACCATCCTTGATTGCATTCCCAGGCCACAGGCAGGAAGCTGGATGGGAAGCAAAACCACCAGTATTAAAACTGGCGCCCATATGGGAACCTAGCATGTTTAAGAGGAATTTAACCGCCACACTATTGCGTCGGGCCCTAAAAACATTTTTCTTAAATGTTAGCCTACTACGGATTTTACATACATTTTTCCCAACTGCTTATAAGGCTGATCATCTGTTCATGTTTCTTGCCATCTGAATTTCTTCCACTGTGACATATCTGCCTCCAATTTCCCATCCACAAGGCACATTTTGTACCACACAGGTTCAGTTAAAATTCTGCTTGTAGAAGCTGAACAAATATTCTCAACTATAACTTGTCACGTATATTGTAAGTTTCCTTTCTAATGTGTACTGTTTATTTCACTCTATCCCAGCAGTCTTTTGCAGTAGTAGTTTTTCAGTTTAATCTGAATAACACTTTCTTGCCCACAAGCAATATTAATCAAGAAATCATGATAATGACACTTCATATTCAAAGATAGCTTTCCTTCCACCTTAATTTACTTGTAGTTTTTTCTCCACATATGCAAGACCCATATGTCTAAATACTCCACACTTTTACATATTCATTGCTACCTTTCAAGTATGATAAATTTCCAAGTATTTGTGGGATAGTGGTCTTATCTGAATGCTCAATTTTGACCTATTATTTCATTTTACTCTCCTTGAGACAGTATCACAATGTCTTAACTGTTATAGTTGCATACAGCATTCACACATAATTTTATTTTTTTGATACACACATTATTGTTTTCAAATTCTCTTTGCTCCTTCACTCTTCTCTTGATTACTGACAGTGGGACAAAAGTTTGTCAAGACACGTGATTTCTGCACTGACTTTGTTAACTCGGGTAAGGATACGTGTATAAGACAACTTTGTGATATTACTCTATTTGATGGAAAAAGCATATATCTCTTATTTTTTCTCTTAATGTCTTTTATGTTTTACAATGTTACCAAATTTAAAGCTCTTGCTTAGCTTTTTAACGGATTCTTATATACCTAACACTTATGGATGTTTGTCTAAAAAAAACTGACTATAATAACTTTCAGTATACTGACCGCATCAGCAGAACATTCACTGAGATATCACTATTTACATTTTAGTAAATAATACCTTTTTCCTCTATTCACCGTTTTTAGGTTGTTTTACTAGACTTACCAAAAATATGTATCCTATCAGGTTTGAAGAAAAAAAGAGTCACTGAATTTTCTTTATCTATTACGGTTAGAATTATTTCTCTCCGGGTGGGGGTAAGGATGAAGCCCAGTGAGAAAGAGGCAGGATCCTGGCTTCCCGTTAAATACCGGCCATTTTTTAAAGGAATAAAACCAAGAGCCAAAACTTACTGCTTAATATGATTTTTGTGCCTCTCTTTTGGCATTTCTTTTTCTCATCTTTTGAAGAGATGGACGCTTAATTCACATAGATTACTGCATATATTAAGCTTTCCATTTTTATAAGAGATTAATTTTGCTTAGATTAAAAAAACACATTATATAATATGATAATTCATTCAAAACACAAGGCACTCTCTCTACATTTATATATATATAAATGTAGCACATTGTAACATTAAATTTTCTGAGATAATTAGCATACTTTCTTTCCTAATTTGTCATGTTATTCACTCATCTTTGACGTCACTGTTTTTAAAGGTAATAAACTAGGGCCTGGAGTGGTAGCCTCGCAGCTATAGTACTCCTCTTGCAAGTGCCAGGATCCCATATGGGCACTGGTTATAATCCCCATGACCCTGCTTTCCATCCAGCTTCCTGCTCGTGGCCTGGGAAATCAGTTGAGGACAGCCCAAAGCCTTGGGACCCTGCACCCATGTGGGAGACCCAGGAAAAAACTCCTGGCTCCTGGCTTCGGACTGGCTTAGCTCCGGCCACTACAGCCATTGGGGAGATGAAAGATCTTTGTCTCTGTCTCTCCTCCTCTTTGTACATCTGCTTTCCAATAAAAATAAAATAAATCTTAAAAAGAAAATCATGAACTCATCTCAGTTATAGCTATTTTATACCAATCTCATGCTGTTCCAGAAACTGAAGGGAAGGGACATAAATCTGTGAAGTACAATGAGCTGCAGCAACAGCCATAACTGAGTTCATTACACTTAAAACACTAATGTCAAAGAGTAAACATCATGAAAATCAGAAAAGGAAGTATGTTAATCATCAGAGGGTGGACAACAATAAACCTGCTGACAATAACGAGAGCACAAGTTCAAAGGACCCATTTCTCCACCTGTTGAAGTAAAAACGCTGTGCAGTTAAAATTAACACCAAAAATCCATATGGATTCAACAAAATGAATAAATGAAGCATTCATAACAAATAATGACAAATTACAGGAAAATTTTACATTCAAACTGTGTCTAGTGTACAATTTAAAGATTAAATTACATAGTAAAAGAAAAAAATCACTGTATGAACAGCATATTATGTATTTTTGTCCATGGTTTGTGAGAAACTAAATACTCTAACTTCAATTTTAGTTATTAGTTATAGTAAAATGGAACATACCTTGCTACCTGACTGTCAGCTCCATATGTTTTTCTTTTGTTTGTAAGTGCACCCGAGGCAGGGTTTCTTGCCAAACTAGGTGGTGTGGAATTTCGAGGTTTGATGTTAGTTCTAGAAGACAGAAAGAGATGACATAATGAAAAATCACTGAAAGACCATTATTCAATTACAAAAATTATTAAAGCTGAAGAGAACTTGAAAACATCGAAGTCCCAATGATTATTTGCAACATGGAAACAAACAGTAGACAATCTGGAATAAATTAAAAAGAATTTACTAACATCATCCTTGTAATATCTACAATCAGTTAAAATCTGCACATACACTTTACATGAAATTTTGTAATATAATCCTTAAAGGCTTGAAATTTTCTTCAAAAGTGAATTTATAGTATTTTCAAATAAGTTGTTAATGCCTACTAATTAAAAAGTAAGTAATACATTCAACAAGCTTTTACTATAACTCTAGTCATATGAAGTGTGGTTGAAAAATAATACACAGCTAACTACTTCAGATGGTAATGATTCAGAGACTGTAAATGAAATAAAGGAGGCAGTGTAACTTCTCCTTTAAAGATTTAATTTTGCGAACTACACAAGAGCTGTCTGGCATTAGAACTCTTAGTTACATTATCAACTAATTCTCACTTTGAAATTTTAGAAGTCATAGAAAGTTTAAGAAATTAAATGATTAAAAAGAGACAAGAAAGTTAAATGACGAGCCTAATACAGTAGTCTAGTGGCCCAAGTCCTTGCCTAGCTTGGCCCAGGATCCCATATGGGCACTGGGTCGTATTCCGGCTGCTCCACTTTGCATCCAGCTCCCTGCTTATGGAAAGCAGTTCACTTGGGGAGTGAATCAGCGGATGGAAGATATTTGTCTCTGTCTCTCCTTCTCTCTGTAAACCTGACTTTCCAATTTAAAAAAAAATAAATGTTTAAAAAGTTATTTTTAAAAAAGGTTAAATGATGATACAATACTAAAGGTAAAGAAAGGCTTTGGTACACATAATTCTAAATTCAAATTCAAACAGCTACTGATATGCTTTGTAAGAGTAGCCAACTTCTCTGCATCTGAACGCCCTCATTTATAAAATGATGCCTTACAGGAATGTAAGATAGAAATTTGCATAAAAGTAGTATAACTGATATTACTATTACTAATGGTATTGCTGCTGTTCTAAGTTACCCCTTATATACTCATTCTTCTAGTGTTAAATACATTTTGGTCACTGTACATATGTATGATGTCTTAATAAACCTATTACATATAGAACAACTAATAACTTCATTTTATATAAGAGGCAACTGAGGCAAAGAACCCGTTAGTAACTTGCCCAAGGTGACAAAGCCAGTATTCTGCAGTCAGGGATCTGATGTTCACAAAGCATTATTTCTCTATCCCTCTTTTGCAAGTCAGTTAAACTTTGGCATTTCATAAATAATCAGCATAATGTTCTTATATGTAAAAGGAGAGCACATTTTACAATACTGTGCAATTAGCAGTTTCAAGCTTTTGCTACAATTCTTCTGACTCTATTTGTGTGATAAAATATCCTAAATGCTTATGTGGTTATTTCTAAAACACACATAGGTTTAACAACATGGACTATTAGTCAGATACGCACTATAGGCCAGATTGGAAGTCATATACTTCATTTAATTTAGTGTTCTCCAAAATTTCAGAAGATACCACTCCACTCTGAAGCTGAAGAAACCTGGGCTTAGTGAGATAATACAGGTTGCAAAGCTATTCTGTGATCATAGTAGTACTTGAACTTCTACTTAGGTGTACTGTACTACAAATGCATTCAAATATGTACTACTTTCCTTCAGAAACAGGCTGCTTTGAATAAATCATTTAAAATATTTCTAAATGTCCACAAGCAAAGAATCACCTTGGTGCATGGATGACATATCATGGAACTCTTAAAACTGCCACTCTAACTCCATCCATGAGGATTAGGCTACTCTGCTTTTGCGTATTTGTTCTAGATTTCACAGAACTATTAAAGTGCCTTTCCACGAATTCAAGGTCTAAAAAAATAACTGTCAAAAAATAGCATTTGAATGGCAAGGGTGCTTTTATGCTTTGGCTCTAGAACAGCCAATTTAAAAATTCTGTCACACCTTCATATAATATATACAATGAGATACACAACTAACACAAACATACTCATGAACATACACATGAGCTCACTGTATCAATAAAGTTGCTCAAAAGGTTTACATTTAAAGGAAAATTATCAACATTAACAGCTGTCATACTTATGCTTAATAATATCTTTTAAGCGATGGAAATTGAATGTCAAGCATAACTCTCAGGAAATGAAACAAGTCTGTCTTGATTGATCAGTACATAAAACATGTTGTTCCAGTATCTGAGTTGCACTTTTTTCTTTCTGGCAAAAGTTTGAAAATCATTGCTCTCTGTATATCTATCTATATATCATATTCTATATCTGGAATCTGCTTTTACTCCTCAAATGATAAGAGGCTTAACTTTGTTACTGTAATTAACTTATTTTTCTACTAGGGTTTCTTAGAGTACCACTTCAGAAGGTGCAGGAGGTACTACTACAACAAAATGGCTCAGACCATATCTTTGTGCTAGTATTTACCAATAATGTTTCAAGTTTATGATTTCCTGCCACTTGTATGGGGGATGGGAGCCCAGGTAGATGTTCTAGTTTCCTGGCTTCAGCGGCAACTGGGGAACACTGAACATATCTGATGAGTGAATCAGGAAAGGGGAATTCTCTCTCTCCTACTCACAAAAATTAATCATATGCTGATTAAACTTGTTACTATTCACACACACACAGCAGGAAACATTTTGCAGTAGGAATTGGTTTAAAAGATAACTATAATAATATGCTATTCAACTTTAATAAGTAAGATAATTTATTATATCAGAATTTTATCATTTGATAAAGGGACTAGTCTTGACATTGAGGCTCAATGGAGTGAACTTTGAAGATTCACAATGAAAATTCACCATGAAAATTCATTCACTGTTCCATCTTCTCAGCTTGATTAGAACAGAACAGAAATGAATCTGTCTTGGAATTTACATATGCTAACAAAAACACTAAGGGCTGCTAGCTTAATGTTTTCTGAGTTCTTTCATTCAGGTAGTTTATAATAATTCATCAGCTGCTTCACTAAAACTAATCTGGCAAGATAACATAATGTATGGGGATACTTCAAAATGTTCATAAAAATGAAGTAAAGACAGTTATTCTGTTGCAAACATGTTTTAACTACATGCACACAGTTTTCTATAATATGTGTTTTCTGTGAACATTTTGAAGACTCTCTGTAGAGGAGCATCAAGACCATTACTCTTGAAAACAATTTCATTGAAGGTGACTGTTATGGAAAACCTCTTTTAGTTGAATGGTCTAAAAGCAGTTCTATCTTAACACACTAAAAATATTGATAAGAGATTTGAACATTTTAAGTCCTAAAAGATTAGTGTTTTTTGACTTGAGTATGAAAGCGGAAAGTCACAGTATTCTACTATACAAATCATTTAAAGAAATATCTGAAAATGATTAATCAAACTGAGTTACAAATACTTACTTGTAAATGGGTAATAACTCATGTCTTTTGATGGCACTGTTTGATTTTGTATCACAGTCATACAACTTTTGCATATTTCTTCCAGTTCGAAGTGGAGGGCCTAACATGCCCATCTTACTATTAAAATATATAAAGGTGTACCCATAAGGAGGTTGCTAATGCTTTTTATATAAAGAATTTTAAAAAAAAAAAGACATACTAGTTTATCAGAAATCCACCCCATAATTATCTGGCTGCCAGATGAGATCCAATGTAAAAAAGAAATCCTCAAAAAGCTCACATGGAATGCATAATTTGACTGGGAAATTCTGATCTTGCAGGCCATCCTGCCAGTTTGGTGCTCATCCAAACAGATCCCATATTCACACAGCAAGCAGATGTAACCACAGGAAAAACAAAAACTATTCCAAAGAAACTTCGTGTAGTCAAAAGTGATATGCAACTTGCTATTCACAATAAAGGCAATTTTCATTCTTCTCTAAATTTTTCTTCTCTATTATGACTTCCCAAGTATTAAAATTCCAACATAAAATAAGTAATTGAATGCAGTTTATATAATTACCCCATCTAATCTTCTAATACTTTGCTCCTGAAATGTATCTAGAGAAAAGTGAAATGACTTTATCTGAAAAACATTGGAGAGCAATGTTTTTTCATAAAAAAATCAGATGTAAAATTGTAAAGTAACCATGTCATCTAAAACTTTCTACTTATTTTTTAACCGAAGTTTATAGTATCTCCCTTGAGAGGATAATAGGATAAATTGGCATGTTTATAGACTTTGCATGGCTTTGCCAACACCAAATAATTTAAACACATACACTACCACCAATTTTCATTCATAGAGTAGGGAAATAATTAGGAAATTATAAAAAGTATCTTACATAACTACTGAATGAGATATTGCTGTGGTTACATTGAAAAGTACATTTTTTTTAAAAAAAAGGAGGGTTGTTTACTGATTGCTTTTTACTTACTCACTGACTAAATAAAACTCTGAAAACATAGTACATGTCAGACACTGTACTGATTTTTGTAGAGACAGAGAAGATAGCTCTGATAATGGATAAATAAACTCAGTATCCTAAAAAGAATTTCTTCATTTTTCTGGAGTAAATGGAATTCTGATGAGGGACTCCTTACACTCATTGCATGTTCTGAAGCAGCCTATGTATAAAAAGCATTTTGTTATAAAAAGTATCACTAATATTCTGCAGGTAGCGGTACATACATTAGTATTTAAGATTTTTTTTTTTAAAAAAAAAAGGCTTCATCTGATCATACATTAAACAATTTCTATAATGATATTAAAGTTTGTTTTTAATCAGGAAACATTATTGAAAAATTTACTTATTTGAGATTTTAATCAGATTTTCTTTGAAGTGTTATTTAATAGTTATCAAAGCACTACTGTTTCACAGCAGTTATCTTTAAGATACCTAAAATTTTATAAGGTACTACTTTCTCTGAAAAAAAAAGTTACTGAGATTAAGATTTATAAAATTTTACATCAGAGTTTTAAGAGAGATTTCTCTGAAGGTATCATGATACCAGACGCCAGGAAGTACTTTAGAGCAGATACAATCAAAACAGCATGATTGTGGCACAAAAACAGACCGGTGCATCCATCAGACAGAATCCCAGAAATGAACCCACACGTTCCCAGGCAGTTAACTTCCGATAAGCAAACTGAAATCAATTCCTGGCAAAGGACAGTCTCTTCAAGAAACTGTACTGGGAAAGCTGAAGTGACGTGTACAGAAGTATGAAACAAGACCTCTGCTTTTCACATTATACAAAGATCTATGCAAAACAGATCAAGGACCTAAATCTATGACCAAACACCATCAAATCACTAGAGGAAAACTGCTCAGATGTAGATACAGCCAGAGATTTCTTCAAAAAGGCCCTAGAAGGACAAGCCATAAAAGCAAAAATAAATAGGAATACACCAAGCTAGAAGCTTCTGTATTCCAAAATGTTCAACTAAAGAGAGAACCAAGAAAAGGGGAGATCTCTTTCACTGATGGAAACTAGAGAAGCTGATCTCACAGCTGAGAGTGGAATGATGGTGAATAGAGGCTGTGGACAATTGGAAGGAGGAATGAGGGAGGAAAGCGTGACTTTCGAGTCTAAGTTATGGATAAGAGAGAGAAGTTTTTCTGGTCTATTGCACAGGTAGTGTGATTATAGGCAAGCATAATACACTACGAATATTTTTTAAAAGCTAGAAGATTTTTGAATGGTGTCGCCAAAAGTAACAAGTTGAGATCAGTATATGTACCCTGAATGAACATTACACAATGCACCTTAATATTGAAGCAACACATGACACCACATGATTATATATTACATTGACAATACTTGGCAACATTATCCATGTATAAATGATTTAGATGAATAATCTATGAATGGTCCCTGTTGTTGAAACCATAAGAGTGAATTCATTTAGAAAATAAAGTCAGGCAGTATGGCTGATACAGTGTACTGTAAAATGGTATGAAGCATAACATGAAAATGTCATAAAAAGATGACTTCTAAAATGCCAACAACGGGGATTTTTTTTTTTATCAAATTTTATTTCACATCTCTGTGGACTCTACAGTTAATGCTATGAGGCATCTTAAGTTTTACACTTTGTCTTTTATCGACTTTTGGTCACAAATTCATAAATGCATAAATTCATGAATTTATTATCTCAACTCCATGGCAAAGTTAGCTTCCTAATTCAACAGCTTCAATCATTTTCATTTGTATAACAGTCAAGGCTCTGTTATCTTAGGTTGTCTTAGGGATTTGCAAATCAGTAAGACATAAAAGTTTATAAAAATCTAACTCCTATTTCATACATAGTCAATTCACACATATCAAAAGATTAGCTTATCAAAAAAAAAAAGCAAAAATGTTACATTCACATAAAAATATATTTTAGGGCCCAATGTAGTAGCTAGTGGCTAAAATCCTTGCTTTGCATGTGCCAGAATGCCACACGGGCACTGGTTCATATCCTAGCTGCTCCATTTCTCTTCCAGCATTCTGCTTGTGGCCTGTGAAAGCAGTTGTGGATGGCCCAGAGCCTTGGGACTTTGCACCCACGTGGAAGACCCAGAAAAAGCTCCTAGCTCCTGGTTTCAGATGGGCTCAACTCTAGCCACCTGGGGAGTGAACCAGTGGATGCAATATCTTTCTCTCTGTCTCTACTTCTCTCTGTATATCTCCCTTTCCATAAAGATAAATCTTTTTTTTAAAAAAAGAAAAATCTCACATATATATAAATATTAGATAAATAAATATTTTTTAAAATATAGAAAAATCACATATATATAAATATTAAAAATCATGTGTTATTTCCTACTGGTTCTAATGGTATTAAGCATTAGATTTTTCATTAAATAGGTGCACCACACATGTATTATGTGGCTCTGATTTTATACCTGTTATGAACTCCAAAGTAAACATTTTTTTCTTAGTGATTGAACAAAAGTAAAATCTTTAAAATTTAATATTTTAATTATTAATTATCTGCCAAAACACTCATTTGAATTGGTAATTAACTATTAAGAAACACACATGTAGCACAGCAGTTATGATGCTGCTTGGATGTCCACAAGTCCTGGCTCTGGTTCCAATTCTAGCAGCGTGATAATACACACTCTAGAAGGTAGAACAGAACGGCTCACATGGTTCAGTCCCTGCTACCAGTTTGGGAAATACGCCCTTCTCTGGCCCAGGCATGGCTGCTGCAGGATTCTTGGAAATGAACCAGCACATACCAGATCACTATCATCCTTTCCAACCTACGAAATAACTTCTTTATTACCAATTAGAAACACATGCTGTTCACAAAGTGCAACTGTGTAAATTCTGACACAATTTAAATGTGGTAATACTTGTACGAAAGTACAGTACCTCATCATACTTTAAGAATTTCCTAGGATTAAAGATAATTATCTTATAAGGGAAAGTTTTCCACCAGTGTAAGTTTAAAACATTAGTTACAGTTGATCCACAGCTTGCCTAGATGTTAACCATCAAATATGAATACATTTTCTAGTGCAAAGGTAAAAATCTCTATGTAAACACGATAAATGTTTCAGATCACTAATTTGGCCTTGTAAACCAAAATAAATATTATATACATCAGGCTTCCAACAATTACAAGCTAATGAAATGATTTAATTTATAGATCTCATTTCTTGAACATGATAGCTAACTGGATATCTTAATTACACCTTTAATAATCCTGAATCAACTCTAAATGGAAAAAATTGTGGCCATACAAACTTCAAGTTAATCTTCCACTTGTTCCAGGACCACAGTTCTACGATGTATCAACAGATTTACAGATCAGGAATTTATTTTACTAATTATTTTTTCAGTTATTCACCAAAAATCCTTGGGTGTCTACACATGAGCTTCTGTAACTATTTCTGTAAAGCAAGGCAGACATGCTCTCGGCCATCATGGAATGTTCATCTAGTAAGGAAAATGAATCATTATCTCAGTAATTCTGAAAAAGGAATGGACTCTGGCACTAACCAGTAAGCTTTGAATCTTTCTAGTACACTACAGTAATATTCCAATTATTACAGCAAATGTGTAGAAAAAATAACAGTGTTTTCAGAAGAAACCCTCCTGACTCACAGGGCCTTGTAGTTCATCATGGAAGGTTGTTCTCTGTCATACTGCAAAACATCTTTGTAAAGTAGATTGCTACATTTATACTCCACTTTTATCCAATGAGTTAACACAGACGCAAGGAAACAGCAAATTAATTTATTAGTGGAAGACTACTGATAATCAAAGCTTCCTGCAGATGGCAAATCCCCTCACTTAGGAACACAAACAAAAAGAAAAAAAATGTAGCATTCAACTCTTCCAATCTTGTTATCTTCTTTTTCTACCACGGTAATTAAACACTCTGTAGGTCTTTTCTGTTTGATACGAAATGAAAAACAGAGATAACTATTTCATTTGATAAATATCCTTGTAAGTAACTACACCAAGTGAAAGAGAGCCTCTCACTGGGCTATACTTACGCAGCTAACTGCATCAACGTAAGTAAAAACAAGTGTAAGCCTTAATTCGAGCAGTTTTGTGACAATCTCAATTGTTTTATTAATCAAAATGGAAGAGCATGTGCCTTCTACATAGACTCAATACCTGTGTTACTAAAATCTTTCACATATTAAAACAAATTATTAAAAGTTTAGTTGTGTGACTTTAATAAAAACCATGTATACAAAACTAGAGAAAGTACTATAAAATACCAAAGAAAAATTCACTGTTCCTGTTGCACAAAATTTTTCTCATGTACACACTTTTATATTTCCCATCACAGTATATAAAGGATTTTGTATCCTACATTTTTTTTTACTATTGTAGGATCACATTGTTAAAACAAGTACATGTATTATTAAATGGTTTCAAAATATTGCTTTGTAGATTTTTATAATGTATTATTCAAACAAAGATGTCTATTCAGCAAATTTTTGAGATGATAAAACATGTATAAAGTACAATATTTCAAGCAAATATAGATCCCAATTTGTATTCTGCTTCTAACTCTTAAAAACTTCATGAATTTTAACAAATTATTGTTTTCCTGGTTTTCTTGATCATGGTGCAGTTTTAATAAAAGTATATGTAAAATGTCCAGCACAGTGCCTGAGTGCTTAATAAATTAGTTATTATAAAATTCATCTATATTTGAATTATTTCTTTACAGTCCCAAAATAGAAGCATTAAAATCTTCATATTTCTGAAGCTCTTAAAAAATGCCACCAGATGGTTCACAAAATGCTTATACTAATCTGAATTCTCAACATCAGTAAATGAGCTCCTGACTAGTTATCACTATTTATAAAAAACAAAACTAAGCTTAATTTAAAAAGTCATCTAAACAAAATCAAAGTTTAGCATGATTTAAATACACTCCACTAATAAGTTATTCAATGGAGACTTACCCTGTCTGAGGGGCTGCCATCCCTTTATGAGAGGGAGATAAGGTCTGAAGTTTAGTTCCCAAAGAGCTGTTAACTGAAGACACTTTACCTGAAGGCAAACCTTATAATAAAAAGGGCATTAGTTTTAACAATAAAAAAAGAAAATACAGAAATGTACAATAGAACATGTGACAAAAAAAGATTCAGTGCTACTCTCTGTGGGTATAATCAGCAGTAATCAACAAACAAAATTCTTTTTTTACTATTTATTTATTTTATTGGAAAGGCTGATGTACAGAGAGGAAGATCTTCCGTCCAATGATTCACTCCCCAAGTGGCCGCAACAGCCGGTGCTGCGCCAATCCGAAGCCAGGAGCCAGAAAGTTTTTTCTGGGTCTACCACGCAGGGTGCAGGGTCCCAAGGTTTTGGGCCATCCTTGACTGCTTTCCCAGGCCACAAGCAGGGAGCTGGATGGGAAGTGGAGTGGCCGGGATTAGAACCAGTGCCCATATGGGATCTTGGCACGTTCAAGGAGGGGACCTTAACCATTATGCTATTGCGCCGGGCCTAACAAATAAAATTCTTTACAAAATAGTATTTCCCAGGAACAACATAAAGTATCACTTATTTAAAACTACTAAAAAAATTTATTTTTAAGATATACATAAAAATAAAGGTTTATTTTAGCGGTAAATATCTTCTTCAAAGAGTATAAACATTAAATGTCGATTTCTATAAGCTGTTAAGAGCAGAAAGGCCTGAGGAGTTAACATAAAAAATGAGGAGGAAATATTGTGCTCAAAGAATCAAGAAAACCAGTGCTAGAACTGTGGCACAGGACATTAGGATGTTGCCCGCAATAAACAGCTGCCTCCCACCTGGGAGTGCTGGTTCGAATTCAGGCTGCTCCCTTTCATCCAGCTTCCTGCTAAGGCACCTGGGAAGGCAGTGCGGGACAGCGCGTGCACCTAGGCTTCTGACACCAAGCAAGATGGAGCTACCTCCTCCTGCCTAGGGCCTTGCCCAGAACTGGCTGCTGGAGTCAGTAAGCCAACGGGCAGAAGATCTCTCTCTCTGTCTTTAAAATTAAGGAAAAAAAAAAACCTTTAAAAACAAAGCAAACTTGGGCGACTATTCTGAACACATGATATATCAAAAATTTCATCAGAGATGGATTTTAAAAATAATAAAATACCTAAAATAGAAACTTTATTAACAGGTAGTTTACTTTTACTGCAAAATCATTATTTTTCTTTCTGTTATCTAATCATAAGTTTAGTAATCTAGAATACACCACAACTTTCACTTCCTTCTCTACCAACAGAATTTTTTTAAGTATCAGATACTGCAGCTTTCATTACCTACAACAGGTTTGCTAGTTCCACTTGGTTGTGGTAATCGTGAAGATCCTGACGATGTGGTTCCAGGAGAACTGGACTTCTTAACTGCAGGTGGTTTATACTAAGATAAAGAAAATAAAATATTTCATCAACATGATCTCTTGATTATGGACTATAAACTAGTAGTTACATGCTCACATTCCATGAGTACAGAATTTTTACAAAATAAAGTTATAGAAATTATGATTGCATAATAAATTTATTTAATGCCATGGAATTGTACATTTAAAAATGATTCAGGGAAAGTTGCTCAGATTTTTAACAGTTAGTGTTTGATAAATGTTTTGGATAAACGGCTTCTGCTAACGCATACTTTCAGCGGCCGAGGTGATGCCCAAGTCTATGCAGGCCTTGATCTTTGTTCCCAGCTGCTGTCGTCACTAGGCCCAGTCCTGGACAGCACAGGCATCAGAGGAGGCCCCACTAGACGGGAGTTAGCTTTCTCCCTCTATCCTTTTCTCTACCTCTCAAATGAGTAGAAACTTCTGAAAAGATAGTTATGATATTAAATTTTGTTATGTATTTCACTACCAAAAAAATCTAAAGGAAAAAGCTCACTCTCTTAAACAGCATTTTTATTAGTTACTGAAATAAATACTCAAGTCAAAAAAATATAAATTAACATCTGTTCCATAATAGAAAGATTTTCTGAAACACATTCTCTATTAAAACCGGTACACTACACGCTTGTTTCAAAAGTTCTACTGCTAAAGCAAACGGGCAGGGGGGAGCATAACAACAAATTCCATGAGTGATAAGATTTGAAAAAAGAAACACCATAAAAACAACAGAAAATCTTAGAAACACATAATCATGCTCAACTGAAGTTTAACTTTAAAAGTCAAGATTCTTAGGTATTCCTGGGTGTGTTTTTATTTCATATGATTAATCCAGCTGTATTTCCTACTGAAAAAAATCAGATTATCAGCCTGGACAAATTTTATAATAGCTATCTTAAGGATACCTCCAATATAAATAAAAACAGCTAAGTCTGGCTTCACTAACCTTAACACATATAAAAGTTGAATATTATGGTTTTTTTCTGTTTTTTTTTCCTATATTTTTTAGATAGATGTCAGTTTTATTTTCAAATCTGGCTTAGAAAGATGTAAGACAGGACTCCTACTGTTAATAATTTTGTAAAAAAAGGTATATTAATTATATCAGCATTAACTTTTTGAGCCAAATATTTGCTTAATTCACTAAAAAAACAAACAAAAATTCATTAATCCTCTTTTGCAATACTAAGAAATGACCAGAATTACCCACCTTAACTGCACAAGAGGAGTAAAACTAACACCATCCAGTTCAAGTTCAGTGTTGCAACTATAAAGACATCTGCTTGTGCAGTTAAGTATTAGTCCAAAATATTGTAAGACTGTTCAGGACTTTATGGGAAAACTGGTTTGGTTCAATTTTTAAAGACAACTCATACTTTTCATCACTAAGCACTACAAAAATTTAAGACATTAACTACCAAAAATAATTAACAATAATTTTGAAGTCATATGTTCACAAAACTACATTTTGTTAAAGGGTCATAAAAATGAGTGCAAGCAATTTTGCACTAGTATGTTAGCAATCAAACATCTTATATGCTACTTGTGAAACAGAAAAACAAATTTTGGAAACTTTGGGAGATGAGCCCCACAGATATATGATTTCTTTGTTTCTGTGTTTAGAAGTACATTGCTTTAATTTCAGACTCATTCAAATACCAATGGCATTAGAAAAATTTTAAAGCAAAAAAAGACTTCAAAAAAGACTGATGAAATTATCAGTTATGTCCTCTTAAAATATGAACAATAAAGAACCAAACCACACTGGTGACATGCTCATACTGAGCTAACCATCCGAAAAAAAGTGCAGAACAATTAATGTAAACACAGGATGCATGTGTGGTATACCATAAGTTAAGCAGCCCAAGACTGGGCTTCATAATAGTTAACATTTATTAAGTTAATAACCTACTGATACATCAAAAATGGCAAAATATTTCTTTCAACAGGTGTTTTATTCTTCCCTTCTCCTCATTAGACCTCTCATCACTTTAATTCAGGTAATGTTTTCTTGCTGAATGTCTTTCTTTTAAAACATACTCACCTGCCTATCAGTACCTTACTGCTCCCCCGAAGCAGACAATCTGATTTGTTCTTTCCTGTGCTGTGTCCTATTCAGCATGCAGCTGAAAATTTGTAACTATTATAAGGTCTTTTAAGACAATGTTAGCTGTCTACAATTTTGTATAAGGCTATTTTAAATGGTCAGAAAACATGACCATTTCATTTTTAAACAATTACACTCAACACACATATTTTCATTCATCAAAATATTTGCTAGTTACCATTATTTTATTTTTTATAAATCATGAATACGGAGTGGGGAAAAACCACGAATATAACAAATTTTCCTGGTAAAATATTAAATTTACAAAGCTTACTCATGGGAATTGGAAAAGTTTAAAGAATATGGAGAACATCTATTTCTGTAAACAAGTACAAAAAATTATTTGGCCCAACTGAAACCGAAAAATGCTCAAGACAGTATATAAAAAAGCACTGAACACCAGAAAAAATGAAAAAGAAAAGTTACAGGCCAATACCACATAAGTTCTGTCTGGCTAACATGGGAACCTGCTGTACAAATTAGGCTATTTTAGGAAAATTAAAGTCCATTATTTAATTTAAATTGGTTCTACACTAAGAGTAACACCAAATACTTGGAAGAAACAAGCACTTCATACAAAGAATCATGAATGAAGCTTTAAGGGTCATGTAGGGCAAACAGTCAGCTGTTATCTCTGATTTAAGTATACAGGCAACCATGAATAAGGAAGCAGAATAGCAAAAATGCACCTATCAAGGTCACCTTTGAAAATGATCATACATATACAGGTATCACAATTACACATGCGAGGTTTGGGTTTTTGTTTTTTTTTTTTTTACTATTTTATTTGGAAGGGAATCGGAGAGACAGGGATAGAGGAAGATTTCCTAATCCACTGGTACATTCCTCAAAATTCCCAGCAGTTGGAGTTGTGTCCTTTGAAACCAAATGCCCAGAGCTCAATCCAACTCTCTGACATAAATGGTTTGGACCCAAGAAACTTAGGCATCATTAGCTACTTGTCGTGATGTACATCAGCAGTAAGCTGGAACTGGAAGCAGATCCACAACCCAAATCCTACTGCTCTTCTGATAGGGGATGTAGTTGTAAAAATTCTTAATAAAATTCAGCATATCAAATCTAAGTATTTATATTAAGGATTTATTCATGAAGTACACAATTGGTTTAATATCAGAAAATCAATAAGTGCAACTCTTTTGGAATAATGGGGGAAAAAACTATATTATCATTTCAATACATAAGAACATTCAAAATCTGCTCATGGTTCCAAAAGATCTCTGAGAACAGAACTATCTGATGCTGACAAGGCACAGATGAAAATCACTCAGCTAACCTCACACTTAACAGTAAACCTTTCACAAAGAATGGGAACAAGGCAAGAATAAGACCTCTCATAATTTACATCTAGCAATGATAAACACTATAATCAGTACAATAAATTATATGCACATAAAAAAGGCAAGTGGTTTGCAGAGAAAGAAGCAAAACTACCCTAATATATAGGTGACATAATCAACAAAATCTATAGGGCAGTTATCCAACATTAATTGAACAAAACAACAGGCACAATATATCTATACTTACAGATAGACAAAGATAACCGTTATATATTGATATCTATATACACACAGATATACAGACATACTTATCTGTAATATTCCTGGTCTAGCAATAAATTGAAAATGAAATAATAGAATTACATCTGCAAGAACATCCAAAAATATGGAACACTTAAGGAAATTCATAATAAAAATCTGTGTATTATCTATCCTATATACTGAAAACTACAAATCACTGCAGGTAATGTTAACAAGTTCATGAATTGGAAAATGTAATACACTTAAGATGTTATTTCTCCCCAAAGTGATTTATAGATTTAGTGTAACCTCAAATTTTTGTAGAAATTCACAAGTCAATTTTAAAATTCATATTAAAAATATAAACAACTTGGTCTACTAGACCACTTATAAAGAAACAATAGAAGAATGTAGACTGTCACATCTTAATAATTAGAAAGGTAGCTAGATTTTCCTTCCCATATATACCACACTCCCATATTACCTGGAAATGTGATTATTCAAACTGACACATATGTTCACTTCCACACACTTTTTACTAACACAACGTCAACTATCTCTACCTCATTTTCTTACATTTTTCCTCTTCTGTCCTCAGGTCCTATAAACTCAAATCCTTCTAAAATCATGTAGATTTCACAATTTTTCTCTATCAGCTATTCAAACTTTGAAGCTATTTACTAACTCTCAAAGAAATGCATTTAATTTGGTAGGGAAAGCATATATATTTGGAAGACCCATTTTCTGATGCCTACATAGAAATTATTCAAATTCACTATTTCACCTGCGTCCGGGAAGCTGGTTTTCCTTTGGTATCTGTAGAAAACTTTCCTTTATTGCTAATACGCGCTGCCTGTTCTTTACAGAAATTTATATGTCTATCAGCTGCATTTTCATTGAATCTCCTCTGGCAATATGGGCATTGAATATAATCTAAAAAAGATAAAAACAGGAGATTGATTACATCATATCTGAAATGAAGGGAGACTCATTAGCTTGTATAAATGGCAATTAAAGATGTATGACATAATTAGCAACATGTGATAAGCAAAAGCACCTAATTCTTTATAAAAACCTAACAGGTATTACCAAAAGATAGCAAAGACTTTCACAATCGAAATCAAATATAGCTAAAGAAAAGAATAAAAGAGAAATTCTCAATTTAAAGAACTAAATGATGAAAAAAAAGAAAAAGTTACTTCTTTTGCTCAAAATAACACCTTATGTTTTCATCATGGATGCATATTTTTATATAATAGACTGGTTAATTGGCAATATACAAAAATGTAACATTACAATATGTTTCAAAAAGTGGGTTCATCTATGAAATCTATAATTTCACTTACAGAAAATGAAGAAATTGTTTCATGGATTTGAAACAGTTGTCTCTTAGATGACCTAACAGATGGAGCGATTTTTTAAAGGCCTCATTAACATAATTAATTCAAATTTAAGACACAGCAAATGTTTCCAAGACGAAATATCTTTCCAAAATGCAAAGTATACTGTAAATAAAATTTATTTTAAAATTCAATCTAGGAATTATCACAGACAAGGATTTTGGAGGATTGTCAAAGATATCAACTAAATGTGACACTGGGAATAAACACAAAAATTTAACAATGTGAAAAAATAATCTTAGTTTCAACATTTTTACTTTTTCATAGGGAGCATATCATTTATACTTTACACTCTCTGAGCTCAGAAATCTGTTTTCCTTACTGATGGAATAAGTATAAAACCTTTAATAAAAAGAAATTGCTGGAGCTGGTACTGTAACGTAATTGGTGAAGCCACAGCCTGCAGTGCCAGCAACCCATACGAATGCCTGTTTAAGTATCCACTGTTCCAATTCCAATCCAGCTCCTTGCTAAAGTGCTCCTTGGGAAAGTAGCATGAGATGACCCAAGTCTTTGGGACCTTCCTTGTACCCACACAAGAGACCTGGAAGACATTCCAGCTACCATAGCCATTTGGGGAGTGAATCTGCAGTTGGAATACCTTTCTCTCTGTGTCTCCCAAGTAAACAGATAAATCTTTCAAAAGCAAAAACAAAACAAAACAAAACAAAAAAACCCACTATTTCACCAATCCCAAGAAAACAATTTCAAAAGTCAAAATTATCCTTAAGGACAGATATTCTGCGTCTGGTTCTGTGCTATAGCATGTTAACAGCAGCTCAGCTCCCTGTGCCACCACCCACATGGGCACTGGTTCGAATCCAAAATGCTCCATTACCAATCCAGCTCCCTGCTAATGCACCTGAGAAAGCAGCAGAGGATGCTCCGGGCGCTTTGAGACATGGGGACACACACACACACAGACACACAGAGGATGCTCCAAGTGCATTGACACACACACACACACACAGAAGCTCAGAGCTTTGACCTGGCACAGACCTGGCCATTGCAGCCATCTTAGGGATGAACCTATGCATGGAAGATCTCTCTCTGTGCAACGCTGCCTTTCAAATAAATGAATCTTAAAAAAAAAAAAAAAAAAAACCAAACTGACATTCCATCTTATTTATATAGACATGAGAATATAGCCATGGAAAGTAATATGTAACACAATGCTCTAAAGCAGATAAAACTCAATTTCATGAAGAAAATTAAAGTAGAAATAGAAGAGACACAAGTTAAATTCATAGCACTAAAGTTAATTATAAATTCTTTAAACAAGAACTGGCAAACTGTGGCATGGACAGCGTGTCAGTCTTGTGTGTGTTTGTGTTTTAAAGAAAGTTTTGCTAACATTGAACAAAGACAACCATTGCTGCCAATAAGAATTAAAATTCAGGGCATAACTTAGGTAGCCCAGTCTCTATAGTAGTTAACTCATGTCAACGGTACCAATAATTACTATTGTGGTTCTTTCCTCTTCCCAGATGATAAGGTATCAAGGTAAGAGAACTATGTGAATTATTTTATTGAATGACAATATCCCAACAAGCGTGATTACATTACATACTGGAATATTAAGTTAATAGCCGCTATAATTTTTAAAACACTACAATGTTATGTGCTTAACTACAAGTATTGACATACAAGACAAAGGATTCCCTATTTCCACAGTTATATGTCTTTTTTTTTTAAGATTTTATTTCTATTGGAAAGTCAGATATACAGACAGAAGAGACAGAGAGGAAGATCTTTCCACCTGCTAATTCAATCCCCAACTGGCCGCAACTCCCAGAGTTGCACTGATCCAAAGCAAGGAGCAAGGAGCCTCTTTGGGTCTCCCATGTAGGCACAGGTTCCCAAGGCTTCTGGCTGTCCTCAACTGTTTTCCCAGGCCAGAAGTAGGGAGCTGGAAGGGAAGCAGCGCTGCTGGGATTAAAACTGGCACGTGCAAGGCAAGGACTTTAGCCACTAGGCTACAGCAGTGGGACCCTGATACGCCTTTATGATCTCAGCTGTATGAACTGTCACTACTAGTTACCAAAGCATTTATAAAGATAACATTTCATTAGATTCTATTATAAATTAGTAACACTTAAAATTTGCAAAATTCTTTTTTTTTTTTTAAAGATTTATTTTTATTATTTTTTCATTGGAAAGGCGGATATACAGAGAGGAGAGACAGAGAGGAAGATCTTCCATCCGATGATTCACTCCCCAAGTGAGCGCAACGGGCCGATACTATGCCGATCCGAAGCCAGGAGCCTCTTCCGGGTCTCCCACGCGGGTGCAGGGTCCCAAAGCTTTGGGCCGTCCTCGACTGCTTTCCCAGGCCACAGGCAGGGAGCTGGAAGGGAAGCGGGGCTGCCGGGATTAGAACCGGCGCCCATATGGGATCCCGGGCGTGCAAGGCGAGGACTTAACCACTTGCGCCACCGCGCCGGGCCCTGCAAAATTCTTATAATTGTTATCTCTGCACATTTGTATTTCCGTCTACAATATCTCATATACCAGGATCATAGGAAGGTGGAGGAGGGGGAGGAAGCTTGCCACCCTCTTTCAGTGCCTGATCAAGGCCTTTAGCTGCTCGAATGGTGGCAATAAATTCTTCATGCTTTCTTCTCCAATTAGATGGCTTCTTTGGTGGTTCTGGCTATAAAGAAAGGAAAATCAGTATCAAACTTTATTTTACTGAACTGAAATAACAGAATTAGTACTGCTTTAAATGTTTTTAGCAGAAATGCTTAATCTCAAATTTAGAAACTTTTGAAGAAAATCCACACAATTGCATTGCATTATACGCAATTTCTACCATAATTCTGTGACAGACTATGTATCACATCCATTTATCCTCCTCCTAAGACTGTATCTCTGTTTTCCCATAGTCGGAGTATGTCCCCAGGCCCTGGTGTTTTTAACTGTTGAGGAAGTGAAAAACAGTGCTCTGCATTTGTAACTGGGTTTTCTCTGAACAAGAAGTCAAGCACCTGCTATCAGTCATTTCTGTAATAACTTCCTATAGCTACAGAGGAGGCTATCTCAACTAAGCGGTATGTCTTGCGATTCTGTATGGGTATGCTGACTTGCAGAATTATTTTTAAGATTTAGCTTAATGATCTTAACTAAGGCTAATCTGCTACCAAAACAATAAATAAATAAATGTATGTCTTCATTGTTTGGAAGCATGCTGTATAGCCATGCAGCTGTGTTAATATCCTTTACTGAATCATCTCCACACAAAACTGAGACAGCATCTTCATCAGGAAAAAGATTTCCTTTTGGAACGGAGCCCACTTCTGAACTTGGGTTTCACTGTTCAGATCATCCTGTGCTGAATACTGCCATTTAAGTATTCAGATTTTATAACACTGAAATACAAGAAAGCATTATGCCTTTATTTTCCTTTTACAGTGTGTTTATTACTACATGTATATGAGACTACGTAACACATTCACAGCAAAATTAACAAATATCTAATGGTTTTAATTACCACATTGTTTTTTATTATTGACTATTATTTTATGATACGGTTCCATAGGATCTGGGATTTCCCTTGCCCACCTTCCCCAAATGCTCTCTCTCCCACGAATCCCCCCCATATTATTACAGTAAAATAGTCCTTCATAAGCAGTCCTGAGTCCCTCATTCTGCTCTTTAAGTGTATCCTGACATTGTAGGTATGCACAACAGAGGAGAGTCCATCTTTGATTTGGAAGTAGAGGTGTGTACTGCATTATATCTTCACAAATGGATATGATAGTACCTTTTGCACAGTTACTGTTATGGGGTGTGACGAGATCACACCAGACATGTCTAAGGTTTATGAAGGAGTCTTTATTAACCAAGCTTGGTGATAATAGAGCATACTAGAAATAGCAAATCACAAGTCCATGTGGCAATCCAAGCAGTCATAATCCAACCAAACATAATCCAAAGAGGAACAAATGGTCATTATTCTTAAGTCCATCCATTAACCTGAAGATCTATGTCCCAGCTTCCTCAACAATATAACTTATCCTAGAGACAGGCAACGAATAACCTAGACACACAAAGCTGCAGACATTCACCGTTCCCTGGCTTCTCTGCCCACATTCCACTACTGCGAGGCCTCACCTCTCCTGGAACTCCTGACAGCACACAAACCAGAAACAGCATTATTATATCCCATTGTCCCATCTAAGCAGTACACAGGGACCATGCTCAGGGGATTACCTGTCCTGGGTCAGCCAGCAGTCGAGGTCAACAGGAAGAAAAATAGGAAGTTTACAAAAACATGAAGTTAATCAACATGCTATTGAATGATGAATGTGTCACTGAAGAAATGAAAAAGAAAAAAAAATCAAAACCCTTCTTAAAGAAAATGGTGCTACTGTCTGGGAATATATCCAAAGGAAATGAAATCTGCCTATGAGAAAGGGATCAGTAATCCTATAGTTACAGCAGCACAATCTATAATCGCAAAGACATGGAAATAACCCAGACACCCACCAAAAGAGGAGTGGATAAAGAAATTGTGGTACATCTACTCCATAGAATACTACTCAGCCATTAAAAAGAATGAAATGTAACCTTTTGCAACCAAATGTTCTCAACTACAGACCTTCACACTCACTAAAAAAAATCAATCCCAAAAGGATAAATAGTATATGTTCTGTTTGATATAAGGCAACCTTCATGCAAAATAAAAGATCAATAGCCTTTTCAATACTGTTTTTGCAACATTTCAGAGGGTTTGATACTTTTGTCTTCCATTTTCATTCAAAAAAGCTTTTTCTTATTAATTTCTTCACTGACTCATAAGTCATACATTCTATTACTTTCAAAATTTCATCCAGAAAAGAGAGAGAACTCTGATCTGCCAGTTCACTCCCCAAATACTCTCAATAGACAAGGACTAGGCTCTGTGCTGAATCCTGAAGTTAGCAATGCTATCCAGATCCTCTGGTGAATGGTAGGAACAAGATGACCTGACTTATCAGGGCCACCTCCCTAGGACTGTGATGGCAGAATTTGAGTCCAGAGCCAGAAACAGGCATCAGACCCACACGCTCACTTATGTATGCCAACATCTCAACTGCTAGGCTAGTGCAGAACATCAGGAGTCCTAACTTGGCAACAGCACTTCCCACTACACTCCAGCGGCTACTGCACCAAGTGGCAGAAGTCAGGGGTTTTTAAGCTCTCATCCTCCAATCAGACTGACAGTCACACAGAAAAGTTTCCATACATTCAATTTACTAAGTTGCTGGAGGCAGGAAGAGAGCTGCCAGAGCCCAAAGTTTTCCTGCAGTTAATTAAGCTAGCAACAGGAAGCAGGAAGTGCCACACTGTCAGTTAACTTGAATAGCTCTGGAGGCAGGAGGGGTGAGTGGGGAACACGCAAAGAGCCTCCAGAAGTAGTTTTGCACATTCTATTAACTTGAATGGATCTAGGAAAGGCAGGGCATAAAAAACTCCCCCTCTGCATTCTCTGCAACTGTCAATTAACTCCGCAAGCAGGTGCTAGCCATCAACCAGCTGCAGCTGCACCCTATCACAATCAGTTACTGGTAAATTCTATTCCTCTCTTTCTCTTTCTCTTTTTTTGCTTGTAATGTCAAGCCAGCAGATTCTGTTATTACTTATCATTAATGAGTTCGGCTTTCTAGATACAACTATTTGCAAAAGATTTTTGGGAAGACACGAGCAGCACAGCCTTTCAGATTATCCAAGCTAGCAAACTTCACTGCTATATCAAAGGCTACCTCCTGTGCATAATCAGGGCTTCAGTGTAATTACTACATTGCTCCTTCTGCTTCTCTGAAACCATCTGAATCCAGGAGAACTAATGCTACCATCCCAGCTTTGCTAAGTTTTCACAAACCACTTCAAAAACAAGACAGCCATTTCGGGGGGGGGGGGTCCCCCATCTTCAGGAAGGCTTCCCAAGAATGCTTCAATGCCTCCTCAATTTCCTATTCCTCTCCTGTCCACTTTCTGGTTTGTGTCCAACATCAACTTGTTCATTATAGGTCATGGGTCCAAAAAGGGTACTTCAAAAAGTTTGGAGAGAAACTGAGTTAAAAGTGAATTAAAAGTTGACACATTGGCTTAACTGGCTAATCCTTCACCTCCAAGTGCTGCATCCCATATGGGCTCAGTTCATGTCCTTGCTGCTCCACTTCCGATTCAGCTCTGCCTATAGTCTAGGAAAGCAGTTGAGGATGGCCAAAAGCCTTGGGACCCTACTACTGTGAACAAGACCAGGTGGGCAGTCCTGGATCCTGGCTTCAGATTAGTTCAGCTCTGGCCATTTGGAGAGCAAACCAGGTGGTGGAAGATTTTTCTCTCTGTTTCTTCTCTGTGTAAATTTTTCTTTCCAATTAAAATAATAATAATAATACTTCAAAAAAAGTAAAGTGTTTTCTGATATAAATTCTTTTGGAAATGTATGAAGATATTTTATCTTACACATTTTCCACACATTTTTGAAGACTTATTGTAGGTTTATAATTAAATTTCTTTTCACCACAATGAACTTATCCTTCAATTTCTTTGAAGTATTCTTGTTTATTTTTAAATAAGACCTGTCATCTTTAGGAATCACCTGTAAAAGAGACCTTTAGCCTAAGGTGGCAGATGTCTAAAATCAAAGCTAGAGTTCTGGAAACTTAGTGCACTTTCTACCATGGCCCCATTGACCCAGATCTCTCAGGAGCCTTGGGCAGCTCTTACAAATATTTGGTAATATGTGGAATAAGCCCATTTGTCTAAAAGTGGAGCTTCTACAATTGTCTTTCCCTACTTGAGATTTGGTAGGATTTCTTTGATACAGGTAATTATACTATGAACTATACAATTTTTAAATTTTCTAAGACATTGCTTCTCAAATTTAACATCCATGCAATTCACCTAAGATTTTGTCACATTTCAGATTCTCAGTATGTCTGAGTATGACCTAAGATTATGCATTTCTAATAAGTCCCAAAATAATGTTAATATTAATTCTCTGAACCACAATTTAAGTAGCAAGTCAATGAACTATTATTGTAAAGCAATGTTCTTTAACTTGGCTGCTTTTCTGAAGACAACTAAGGATAATTACCATCCCTTTACAAAACTAACAGGATAACTAACATTTACTAAGATTACCATGTATGATTTTATCAACAACATATCCAAAAGTTAGACACTATTATTATCACCACTGCACGGGCAAGAAGAAACATAAATAGATTAAGTAACTTTCTCAAACAGTGTGCCTCTCAAGCCAGCTCCCACAATCACTTTATTACACTAACATTACAGATTGCTTTACTTTATCTACTTTAAATAATACAATCACACATCTTGAAGTTTAAAAGACAACTTCAAACACTGTACCTTATTCAAACCTCACCACACTTCCCATCAATATTCACAACTCAAAAAGATGGATATCTGATTTTCCTATTACCAAATAATTTTATTACTAAGGTGAATTCCATGTTAGGGAAGTGCTCTTTCAGAAGCATCAGAAAACAGGGTTTGGTTTCAAAAACCTATTCAATCAGGTACTTAGCTTTGACTCTCTCACTGAAATGACTTGTTAAAATTATGTCAATGCACCCATGAGAATGGCATCGAATGAATGGGGTAGCCCTCCAGGTCTCGAGGCAGGCGCTAGGCAGCTAGATGGAGGCCCAGACATGGTGTACCTCGAAGCTTCTCAGGGGTGTCTGGCGGGTCTTTGGGGGACAGTGCTAATTCCTGGGTTCCCTGCTACTGCTGTCACCTCGGGAATTCTCTGAGAATTGAATTTCTGGGTTTGGCTGATGGGAGGAATTTCAATCCTAAAATAAAGCTTAATCTAATGCAAAAAAAAAAAAATTATGTCATTGTATTTAAGTGAATTATTTTGGGCAACATATAGCAGATATTGAGCAGAGATTATTGCAGCAGGGTCTCAGCTTGGTTCTAAGAACGAAAATAAGCTAACAATAACTATATGTGTATAATTCAACAACTGATAAACTTCTCCCCCAAAAGCATGATATAGATCACAAACATCCGAAACACTGAAACAGGACAACACATTCTTAGTAAGCTAAGACACCTGTGAACAGTTGCTTCACTTTCTACATACAGAATTAAGGGGTTATACCACTACCAAGAAACAGTAAAACCTGACACCTTAAATCGTATCTGAAATAGACCACGACTCAAAAAGAGTGCATAAAAACTTTCAAACCATTTTCAGAATATAGCCAGCCATTGAGTTTCAATGCTAAAATAAAAAGAAAAAACCTCACTTTAATTAAAATTCGAGAGAGTACTATGGACTCTCCTTTGTAGTTTAAAATTTAATTTGAAATAAAATGTTTTATCCATCCATTTCTTAACACATGTGTTTAGAAAACGGAACACAGAATTTTGTTAAGACATTCTATTGGGTTAAAGTAACAGACATGCACAAGGTTTTCAACATATTAACAGCAAAGTTTATACTGTTCCAAAGATTTTACAATTACCCTTGGTTTAAGAGGTTTTACTGTTGGAATATCCGTTCCTTCAGCTCTCTGTCTGCTTGAATCAAAAGTCTTCCGTTTTTTGGTTGCAGTTTTCTGGCAAATAGGTCCATGCTTTTTCTGTGAAGATGAAGAAATGCAGCATAATCTCCTTATTGCAAAAAAGAAAGACTAAAATCTCATTTCAGTTGAGATCAGTTTAAAAATCACACAAAATTAGACCCAATTAACACACCTGAGGATAAATAATAAGATGCACCTTGCCTTAACTAAAATTATATATATATACACATAAATATAATGCATGCTACGTTATCTCTCTCATAATAACAAATTATAAAGAAATACTCTCAAATATTTTAAAGACCTTTTAAAGATATTCTCTCAGTTTTCACATTATTAATACTAAAAAGTATACAAGAGCCATTGTACAGACCTCTACTTAATCAATAAAACTTCTCCTTCCATACATGCTGACTGACCATATCAGCTGTACCAAAAGAACTTTTTATTCTATATTTTCATAAACAATTAAGAAACCACAACTAACTGTTAAGCCTTATTTGGGAAGAAAAGGTAAATCTTGGGTGGATGTATTTGTCATGGAAGCTCTTAACGCTTTCAGTACATAACTAGTAATCAACTGTTTCACATACTGGATTTCAATCTTCGTTCAGCAAGCAAGCATTGTAATTAGAATTACTAGAATCAAATGTCTAAGTAATAAAAATGAGGCTAGCAGCACTTTCCGGTACACCCAAGCATGTCTGTTAACATAAATTTTTCTGTGTCAGGTATACACACAAACTGTTTACAAGCATGATTATATAAATTGTCAGTACAGTGATAACATCACTTAAACAAAGATTAGATAAATGAATAAGAATACTTTTGCCTATGAAAACTCATAAAAATAATGCAAAGATAATCAAAAACAACACTGAATAAGTAGAGAATATGCTTTGGAATTACAAGAAGCCATTGCTAACTAAATCACAGTAGTAGTCAGAAAGCTACTATAGATCATTAATTCCTTTTTTTTAAGAGCTTATTTATTTGAAAAGCAGAATTACAGAGACAGTCAGAAGAAAAGTCTTCCATCTGCACTTTCCCTTCCCCAAATGATCACAATGGCCAGTGCTGCACCAGGCCAAAGCAGGAACCCAGAACTCCAACCTATGTCCCCTGTGGGTTAAGGGGCCCAAGTGTTTGGGTCATCTTCCATCGCTTTCCCAGGCACATTTTCAGGGAGCTGACTACAGTAGAAACCCTACAAACTTAAACTGGTCCCCATAAGGAATGCTTATGAAAACGCCTAGGCTTCAGGTTAACCCGCAGCCATAGCACGAGCCCCTTCACTTTGCTTGTAAGAAACAAACTGGAAACAGTAAAAGGATGTATAGTGGATTACTGCAGGTTCATATCCAGCAGATCTATACTTAAAGAAATATTTTTATCTTATGTAAAGTGTTAATAAATGTATGTGGCACATGAACACGCTTTTTATTGTTCCCTATTTAGCTGATTATTTTTTATCAAAATCAGTTAAAAGTGCTACTAGAATATGCTAAATATCTGAAAGTACCTAATAAATTAGATAACTTCAAAAGCAATGCTATACTGAAAAAAAAATTCTTTGTAACATTTCAAGCATGCAAAAAAGTGCAAAGTATAAAATCTTTCATTTACTTATCACTCTTTTAACAATTACATTTTAGCAATTTTACTTCATTTACTTGTTTTTATTCCTGAAGTACTTTAAAGCAAATCCCAGACATCATATCATTTTCTGTAAATAAACACAACATATTATCATATGTTTAAAAGATTAATTATTTTGACAGAGACACCAGAGGAGAGTCAGACAAAGAAACAGAGATCTGCCATCTGTTGGTTAGCTCCCCAGATGTTTCAACAGTCCGGGTTGGGCCAGGCCAAAGCTACAAACTATGAAGTTTTGAAGATAAATTCTTCCATCTGCGCTTCCCATGTGGAAACAGGTTGCAGGGGACCAAAGCATTTGGGCTATCTTCTGCTGTTTTCCCAGGCCACTAATATAGAACTAGATACAGAAGTGAAAGCTGCCAGACCTCGAACCGGTGCCCATATGGGATGCCACTGGCACAAGCGGTCACTTAACAGGCTTCACCACAAAGCTGGCCCCTATCACATATTTCTGAAAGGTGTTTTGTCCTATTTTTGCTAACAGACACACAGAGTTAGGAATAATTTTACTTTTTAATAGAGGGGTTCTGAAGATCAAACTCTGAAAAGAGTCCTGGAAGGAATGCCAACAGACGCTCCTGAATATCCCTTCAAAAGTTGTTCTTGTAGCTTTTCCCATTAGGGTTGTTCTGAGTAAAGAATAGTAACAACTCCACCAAAAAAAAAAAAAAAAGAAAGAAAACAACCTCTTTACTTACTAATGCTACTGGAAAGAATGTTCTTCCACAAATCTTGCAAGGCAGTAATTCTCCTACTTGGACAACACTTCCATTCTCTGAAACAGAAAATAATTTATTACTTCCTATCAAACTGTGAAACCCAAATTTTAATGCTGTTTCTCAGTTTTACTGGTAGGCTAACAGCTGTTGTGAAAAATGTTTTGATCTATTTTGAAATAAGCAAAATTATCAATTACAATGGGCACAAGACTTAGTGATCATTGATCAAAATAGGCTATCATAAACACATAATAGTGATAATTTAAGAACAACCAAATTTACATTGCTATAAAATCTAGTTTTAAGTATTTTTTTTTAAAGATTTATTTTTATTATTTTTTGATTGGAAAGGCGGATATACAGAGAGGAGAGACAGAGAGGAAGATCTTCCGTCCGATGATTCACTCCCCTAGTGAGCGCAACGGGGCCGATACTATGCCGGTCCGAAGCCAGGAGCCTCTTCCGGGTCTCCCACGCGGGTGCAGGTTCCCAAAGCCTTGGGCCGTCCTCGACTGCTTTCCCAGGCCACAGGCAGGGAGCTGGAAGGGAAGCGGGGCTGCCGGGATTAGAACCGGCACCCATATGGGATCCCGGGCGTGCTAGGCGAGGACCTTAATCACTTGCACCACCGCGCCGGGCCCTAGTTTTAAGTATTTTAACCAAACCAATTCCTTATGTTTTGTTAACTTGTGAGTTATATCTATTATAAATTATTAAACATAAAATTGTTTATCTTATTAAACTCCAAGTCATGAAAATATGTCACTAATGTCTAAAGAATTCGGAATAAAACTTACTTTATGTAACACCACACGATGCAAGTATAATGCCCTAACGATAATATCTTTCAGTTATGCACACTGCCTATCCTGAATAATGTGAAATATTCACTATTTTACATATATGTTAAGATTCACAACAGTACTTACTGGAGATATTTTGATCTAAGGAGAAAAATTCATTAAAGAGTAAAGAGGTAGGTATAACTTCCTTCAGTTAAAATTAATTTACCAATCATACACCAAGATATCACAAATTTTAGCATGAAAATATTCAAAAGAACTCACACTATTAGGGATTCTTCTGAGTTAATTCATCACCTTACTTTCTAACTAAAATTTAAATCTAATTTATTTTCACAATTAATACTTTGCTACAAATGGTATTGGAATCGATAACATCTCTCATGGGGACATTCCCCATGTTTCCAGCCTAGTATTTTACTGACTTTTAACATGTGTATCATACAAAAGACAACAGAAGACCATTTCTTTCAACAGTGACATAAGTAAACTTATGAAAAAAAAGAGCAACTAGGACTCCCTAATATTTGTTCCTATACATTTGATGAGTGTACAGAAACCAGGTGACCTAAAACAGATGTTGGTAAGAATATTGTCAAACACAGAAGTGACCTCTGTTCTACAATTCTTCTAGTTCTTCACACTACCCAATTTGATTGAAAGAGAGGAATTTTTTTATTGTTTGTTTATTTAAGGATTTATTTATTTTATTGCAAAGTTGATATACAGAGAAGAGGAGAAACAGGAAGATCTTCCTTCTGATGATTCACTCCCCAAGTGAGCACAACGGCCAATGCTATGCCAATCCAAAGCCAGGAGCCTCTTCCGGGTCTCCCACGCGGGTGCAGGGTCCCAAAGCTTTGGGATATCCTCGACTGCTTTCCCGGGCTACAGGCAGGGAGCTGGATGGGAAGTGGAGCTGCCGGCATTAGAACCGGCGCCCATATGGGATCCCGGGCGTGCAAGGCGAGGACCTTAACCACTGTGACACCGCTGGGACCAGCCCAGAAATATTTTTACAATGAAGTAAAATAGCGGATATTAATTACAAAAGAAAGCTAAGATTTGTTGACATGTCCTTCAGCAGCAGTGGGTATATTATTCAGGGAGAGCAATTTATTTTTTAAAGATTTTTCTTATTTTATTGGAAAGAGAGAAGTAGAAACACAACGATCCCCTTCCTGCTGGTTTAACTCCCCCAATGGCCACAATGGACAGAGCAGAGCCAATCCAAAGCCAGGAGCCAGGAGCTTCCCCCAGGTGCAGGGTCCCAAGGCCTTGGGCCGTCCTCTGCTGCTTTCCCAGATCATAAGCAGGAAGCTGGATGGGAAATGGAGCAGCCAGGACAGGAACCAGCACCACATGGGATTCCAGCACTTGAAGGGGTGGGATTAGCCAATTGAGCCATATTATCTAGATCACTTAGTCCACTAACAATACTGAAAGTTGAGGTAGCTACGAGACAGATTCCACTTGGCTCATTAAGAATGTGTTCAAAGAATAGTCAAAGTAATGTCACAGGGTGGATAACCTTGATTGTAGTTATTCCTTTAAATAAATATTAATAAGTAGTTTAAACACTGAGCAATATAAAACATTACAAAAAATTTAAAAGTTTTGCTTGCTTTATATTACATTTGAATATATTTGTTAAGTAGGTGATAAAACACACTCACACAAAAGTAAACTATTGAGAAAAAACCAATCTGAACACTGAAATAATGGATGTGCTACATAAGCATCTACTATTTGTCAACCGCAGACCAAGTAATAGCATTACAAGGTTAACTACTGAGACATTGCTCTCATAAAGCTAACACAAACTGTGTGATTTACTTAATAACTCTATTATCCAACTCAGTTCCCATTTTTATACAAAAACTTCAACTAACAATCAGAATGTACCATACAGCAAAATACAATGCTCAGGATTAATTTTCACAAGTTATCAACATGCTAAAATATGCTTTTTAAAGTTTATTTTTAATATTATTTACATAGTCGAGACATGCCTGTGTGGGACTCTGATTAGGGTGTGCTGGGTCAGGTATGGAGGAAAGTGGGGGTGGGACACACGTTTCAATCTTTTTCCTCCTTTGTCCACAGGGGAAGCAAGGGAAAATGCCACTACTTGCTGTGAAACTACATCAGCACTTGGGGAAGGGGGACAGTCCTCTGATGATGCTCTAGGGTCCAGGGTATTACTTGAGTGGTTTCAATAATCCTAAAACATTGTCAGTTTTATTGCACTGGGTTGAGAAAATCTTCCCCCCAAGGCCTACTAGCTGACAAAGTCCACTTTAGTGCATCCCATAGACCCAGAAACATGCTGCAGTGCTTGGCCAGGAGAACAGTTCAACCTCTTCTTTTATCCATCCTCTGATGAGGCAGTTGTCATCCCCTGCTGGCCTAAATGAATGAGCTGGCTGTCATGATACCCATGTGCATGTGGACTTGCTATCGACCAACAGGCATCAGCAAATAAAATCTAGCATCAATACATGCACTCCAAGGTTGGATTACACATGCTATAACTTTCCCTGTGGACAGGGTCTGAATCCAGTGGTCCAGCCTAGCAGTCCCCCAAGAAATCTCACCTAGGGTGACCTCAGATTTGACTCTAATGTGTGCCAGACAGTACAGGACCAGGTGCAGTCAGTCACTTGCTCCAGCCAACACATACACACACACACACACACACACACACACTACTGAATGCAGTTTGGTCAGTTCTATCTCAACCCTATAAGTCACACAAGCCATAGGGTGTTGTGCCCCAGCCCAGACCCAGCCCACTACAGAACTGGTCCACACATATACAAGCCAGTGCCATGGGCTAGTCAGGGTGACCTCCTCCACTAATGCCCAGCACACATACCACTGGCCTAGCTTTTTACACATATCAGCCCTTGCTGTAGCCTGTCCCGGTCCAGCACATATCTCATCCAAGTCTCATGTACTCTCGTGGGTTCTGTGGCTTAGCTTGACCCTAGATCTAGCCCTCACATATGCCAACAGGTGCTGCCACCTTGTCCAGTTGGCCGGGCCCAACCCTGGCTCTTTTGCTCAGCAGCTATAGGTACAGTCTAGTAGGGGAGTTCCCACAGTTCCCTACCAGGAATGTTTCCACCCCCAGATCTTGCATCCGTCCCAGGGTACTGCATTCCAGCCTGACATGACTTACAGCCATTCCTACCACTTGCCAACTGGTGCTATGGCCCAGCTTTGCTGGCCCGCACCCATTTCGCACACCAGTGAGTACAGCAGCCTAGCCTAGCTTGACCCACCAGGAGAACCAGTTCTCAAACTTACCAGTAGAAATAGCAACCCAGCAAGGGAGTCCCCAAAGTTCTATGCAGCCCACAACTTCCTCTAGGTCTTGCATGTGCCAGCAGGTATAGCAACTCTGGCTGAGATAGCCTGCCCCTAGTCTAAACATTCCCCAGCAGGTGCTACACACTGGTTTAGCCTGGCTCACCCCTCAACCTAGTTCTCGCCAGCAGGTCCAGCAGCCTAGCCTAGCCTCACCTGGCTCACCAGTAGTCTTTATGTGAACTAGTGGGTATTGTGGTCCAATCCAGCCTGGCCTGAACCGTGTCCTGGCTCTCATTCATGCCAGTATGTGCTATAGACTGACCCTGCCTGGTTTTCCCCTACCCAGCTCACACATGTGCCAATGGCCTGGTCTAGCCTGCTCCCAGGCCCAGCTCTCACACTCAACAGCAAGAGCTGTGACTAGCAGAGGGGTTCCCTAAGTTCCTCCACCAGGTTCAATCCCAGCTATAGAGGCTGAGTGTGCTGTCAAGCGCCGCTTTTCATCATGACATTGCAGGCCCCTAGCACCAGTTTTCACAAGTGCTAGTAGGTGGCAGGTCCAGGTCTCCCACTTAGGCAGGTGCCTAGGCCTGACTCAGACATGCTCTCTAGCTTCCCCCCTCTAAACCACTTGTCTCAGCTCTCTTGCATACCTGCAAATGAGTCATCCAGTCCATGGAAGAACCCAAAATCTTTCCTTCCCTGACAAACATGCCTTAGCTATTCCTATTGCAATACATCTCTAGATCCCTTCCTTGGGCAATCTGCAGTTCCTTAACCTGGGGGCAAAGGTAGCATGTCCCAGCCTAGAATTCCCTGCATTCCCCAGTTTTCTTAAAAAAAAAAAAAAAAAGGAAACTATGCTGACATACTAGTATAGTTAACACAAATTTGTCATTAACCAGGCCCAGAATGTCCACCAGCTATTGGCTGCTTTTCTCCCAGGAGTGTAACACTTGCCAACGTACTAGGCTACCTAAGCATCTGCCTTCAACTGCAGTGAAATATCCTCACAGGAAAAGGAAATCACCATCACTCACAGGCACAAATACACAAAAAAGAGCAAGAGAGAGCGAGAAAATAGTATTGCAAATACTTAAAAGCAATTATGTCAATTGCATAAAAAAGTCATTATTTAATTCTAAACAAATGCACATAATATCAAAGTATAGGTATATAAATATAATTTTAGGTCCCGCGCGGTGGCACAGTGGTTAAGGCCCTCGCCTTGCACGCCAAGGATCCCATATGGGTGCTGGTTCTATCCTGGCAGCCCCGCTTCCCTTCCAGCTCCCTGCCTGTGGCCCGGGAGAGCAGTCAAGGACAGCCCAAGGCTTTGGGACCCTGCACCTGCGTGGGAGACCCGGAAGAGGCTCCTGGCTTCGGATAGGCATAGCATCGGCCATTGCGCTCACTTGGGGAGTGAATCATCAGATGGAAGATCTTCCTCTCTGTCTCTCCTCTCTGTATATCCGCCTTTCCGATAAAAAATAATAAAAATAAATCTTAAAAAAAATAATAAATATAATTTTATAATTTCCTTTTGCATTATCTGATTTTAGGGCACAGTCCTCTAATTCACAGGATGTGGCATGCACATGTATATTGACAAATCTACTGAGCCAAATTCTACCAACACATCATTATAAATAGCTTCAGCCTTGGAATTTGTTCTAATTGTACTCATTAAAAGACATGAAAATGTAGTAGAAAAAGCACTGGAACCTAGGGGCCATTATTGCTAGCAAAGCATGTAAAGCCCGCCAGCTACATTGCTAGCATCTAACATGGGTGCCAGTTCACATCCCTGGATTTTCTATTTCCAATCCAGCCCCCTATCAATGGATTGAGAAAAGCAGAGGTAGAGGACTCAAGTGTTAAGCACCCTGCTACCTGGGAGACCACATGAAGCTTCTGGCTCACACTTTCCACCTAGTCCAGCTCTGACCTGGCCCACCTAAGCAGTGAACCAGCAGAGGATCCAGAAGAGAGGATCTCTCTATCCCTGGCTAGCTCTCTCTGTAAAACTCCTGGAAATAATAAGCAATTCTTTAAACACACACACACAAGCAGGCAACCAAAACAAACCCACCAGAATTTGCCTTATGTTATATAACTTCAAACTCTCTGCTGTGTCACTGGGAAAAAACAGTATTTAACCTAAGGTCCAGATTTCTCTAGTATGAAAACAAGGAAGTTATATTAAATGATATATACGGCCCACATATACTAATATGTCTGGGAAATCAGCAGACAGCCCAACTGCTTGGCTCCCGACACCCACGTACTAGACTCAGAAGAACTTCCCAGCTCCTTGCTTCCAACTAGCCCAGCTCTGTCCATTGAGGCCATTTAGGGGTGGGAGGTGAACAGATAGATGCATTTCTTTTTGTTTTTCCCTGTGGCTCTGCCTTTCAAATAAATATTTTTTAATGAATGTAACTGATCAACAGTGATCTGTCAGATTTGAAGCCCTCTTTCGAAGCCTCATCTTACTGGATCTTCCTACAGCATGAGCATGGCAGCACTTTTCTCTCAGCTTTAATGGTATCTTTTTCTGCTAAGCCCAGGCTTTCCAAATTTCACAAGTTAAGCAAGGTTTGATCTAGGCAGCATTTAAGACTTAAGAATAATAAGTGCTACAGACTCTTTTTTTTTTAAAGATTTATTTATTTTTATTTGAAAGTCAGATGTACAGAGAGGAAGATCTTCTGTCCGACGATTCGGACAGAAGCAGCCGCAACGGCAGGAACTGAGCCAATCCAAAGCCAGGAGGCAGGAGCTTCTTCCAGGTCTCCCACGCGGGTGCAGGGTGCCAAAACTTTGAGCCATCCTCGACTGCTTTCCCAGGCCACAAGCAGGGAGCTGGATGGGAAGCAGGGCTGCCAGGATTAGAACCGGTACCCATATGGGATTCCAGGCATGCAAGGCAAGGAGCTTAACCACTATGTTATTGCGCTGGGCCCAACAGATTTTTTTGAAATATATTTTCTGTTAAATAAATATTAGATTCTTCTGCACTTTTCTTACTGGAACATTTTAAAATCTCTTGAAGTTTTCCCTTACCCCAATTTTCTTTACTGCTCAATGTAAAAGAATTAACTTCTTTGAAGTTTGTTTCCTTATTTTGTAAGTATGGTTTGCCTAGGGGATTGTATCCGTGTCACTCAGGTGATAAGTACTACATACCTGCAGTTAGATATTTCCAAGTATTTACTAGACATTCCTGTCTGATATCCTCAAGTAGAGCACAAACATATTGAAAGGCAAGCTCATTACTTCATCTCCCTAATGTGGTTTTCCTGTTGCTTAAAGACAACGCATCTCAGCCAAAGCAAGACAGTTTATGTCTTTGATTCCTTTCCCCTTTCCTGTTCAGCAGTCATAACTCACTTCTCATCTCAGAAATGCTTTCTATTATTCCTTTCAAAGTGCAGCTACCTTTGCCTTAGTTCAAATTCTCATCATGAGAGTGGTTCCAGCCTCTCCTTTCCCCCATCTATCTTCCTGCCATAGCTGCATAGACAGGGAGAGGACAATCCCTCTAAAGCATGTCTTATTTTACACACATGTGCCACTTTCAAGCCTACAATATGACTCCTGCAAATTCATTCACCCAATAAACATCTATCAAAGGTGCCTCTTAGGTACGAAGTACTTAAATGCTTTATTATGCTACATCATTTAATATTCATCATAATTCAACTAGTTAATATTACATAGCTCCATTTTTTATAAATAGCTGATAAAAACTGAGGTTTAGATTAAATGAAATGCCCTAAACACAAAGCTTAATAGAACAAAAGTACCCCTTCCTCGCCAGCATGCTATTCAGAATTCTGGCATCCAACTCAGTACTGAAAAACAATGAATGTGAATTAAAATAACAGAGATGAAATTTTCAGTAAAGGAGCATTTGCTTATACTAAGGAAATGCGAAGCAAACCAGAAACCCTAAAGAAACATGAATCTGTCTTCAACTCTCAGGGCTTTTTTTCTTCTTTCCTGACATGCATTGTTTGGATGTTTATAAGATCATTCAAGAGTCATATGAAATTATCGATCTAAACATTAGGCTTCTAAAGTTTCACTCAATTTCAAGTTCCACCTGTGGTTGCCTTGGTAAGGCCAGATCAAATGATTTTGCAGGTCAGATGGTTCCCCACCCAATTACTAAATGAAGGGTTACACGAAAGAAGGGCTATGGGACTTCTCAGGCTTTACAGGACAGTGGCAAGGCCTGACTGAGTTCAAATGAGGATGGGCAGCCTGATCACACAACTGTTACAAAAACCTGCAAACGCTTCTAAAGCACTTTTTCTTTGATAATAGAGGATGCTCCAACCCACTTTAATAGCAGCAGGTATTTTAACTTAAAGCACATGATAAGGGACAGTGTTATGACTCAGCAGGTCAAACCACCATCTAGAATGCCAGCATCCCCTACTGGAGTGCCAATTCAAACCCCACCCAGTCCACTTAGAATCCAGCCAAAGCTGGCCCAAATACCAGGATTCCTGCCACCATTAGTGAGCTATCTGCCTCTCCCTCTCAACTAAGCACATTCTTTAAAATAATAAATAATTACAAAGGGGGAGTGGGGAAAGCCACCTCTCAAGGAACCCCACAAGCAGAAGTATCATTAAAGTAAGCAGTAAGCATTACACCCCCTTATTTCACAGAAACCCGGATACTCGAAAACTAAGCAAGGAACAAGTTCTTCACAGGTCATACCACACTGCGGCTGCTCACAAACGAAAGTTATCAGAATCCGCTGATTATTTATCATCCTTAAGATGCTTACTGTGAGAGCTTCACCTCAGGGAAAAAGTATGAGATAAACTCACACTGACAATCACATTTGCTCTCTGAGGAGAATGGGCCACTGCAGAAGTTACCAGTTACCATAACACAACCCCGAGATTTTCCACTCCAACATGCAATTCTTAATTGTGGTTGAACCCATCTAAACTAAAAGAACTGTTAACAGAATCAAACAACAATTGAAAAGCAAAACGGAAAAAAAAAAACTGAAGCTGTTGTTGTCATAAATTTTTTCTCCTTATTTTATTGGGCGAATGCAGTCATTAGGATAAAATGAATACAGAGAACAGAAAAAAAAAATGGGAACAAAGCAAAATCTGAAATCACCGTTACAATGCAGGGATAAGCCCAAAATAAGGAACAAGTACTGGCTCTTCTTTAGCCAGATCCCGTGAATAAGCCACTAAGTCCTTCCAGTCGCCCATTGTCCCCCCTAAACCTGGCCAGCGACACTTCCTCGGACGTCCCTCCGATTGAAGATGCCGTAGAAATGGAAGAACGGTTACTCTGAGAAACTGGCTAGGGAGGTGTGGGAGCTCGAGGCTGCAGACACACCCCAAGGCCCCAGCGGACCGGCGGTGCGGATGCCGCGGATCCTAACCGAGTCCAGCTTGCAAGGAACAAAAAATCTGGCCAGACCTTGTGGTTTGCCAGAGGCAACTCGGCAACCAGGCACGACCGAGAGGACGTGCAAACGTGCACTAGAGAGAGGGGGAGGCTAGCTTTCAGGCTCTGGGACCATCCGAGGTGGAGCAGCCTGCGAGTCAAGCGCTCCCCCCGTGCCGGGGGGCTCTCCGCCCACTGCCGCTCGCCCCGGTCCCCAAAAGGAGGTGCGGACCCCTCCGCTCCAAACGTGCCCTCGGCCTGCGGAACTGCTGCCCGAGGCCCCCCTCGAGCCTCCAAGAGCGCTCTCGCCTCTCGGCTCCCATCCCTTCACGCCTCACCTTCCAGTCCGTCCATTGCGCCAGCGCCTCCCGATCGGATGGACGCTCCAGCAGCGCCCGCCACCGCCCAGCTCCGGCTGTAGCAACGCGGCTACGCCTCCCACCCGCTAACATCCCGGCCTCCGATTGGTCCGCGCCGGGGCGGGCGGCGTGCGGCCGGGCCGCGGCTGAGGTGCGCCTCCTGCTGTCTCGGGCGGCCGCCTCCCGGCTCGCGGCGCTCCTGTCCAGCCTCCAGGGAAGCGGGAGCCGCCTCAGATTGCACCCTGCAGCCCAACGGCGCCTTTGTTCCACTCCGGCCTGGTTTTCCCTCACACCGTATCCTCCTATTCAGTGTATGTCAGCACTTCGCGGCTCCCCGTCGCCGCTCAATGCCGCTCTGTTTTCTGTTCTCTCAGCGGATTCTTTAAACCCGAACAAGCACAGCGAACAAGTGCCCTGCCCTCCTGGACGCGGCCCACGCTCCATTTTCAGCTCTTTGGTCAGAGGACTTCTCCTAGCTGTGTCCCCTAGATTTTACCTTCCCGCAGGAGTCCGTGTGTTAATAAACGCCGTTTATCGTGAAAAAGTCACTTTTTGAGATTGTGAAACAGAGAATGCTTTAAACGCTTGTAAACAATTGCCTCAGCGTGAAAGCTGGGGCCAAAAATTAGAAGTGAAACCCAGCCTTCCTGCCATCTTCCTCCACTCTTGGCCTTCTCTGGCAATAGTAAACTAGTCTGGATACGTGGTAACTAAGGAGAGGACATCAAATTCATATTTGAGGCAGTTGCAACTGCAGGGCTGACCAACCTGTGGCAGGACAGTTTTCCGTCAGACAAAACCTGGATGTGAAGAAGTTCAAGAAGTTCATGGCTTGGTTGAACAACCTAACATACTTCACTGAGACTAGAAATCTTTAAAACGTTGGTTTAACAGTAATACACATGCTGTGTTGTTTGCTCACTGGTAAGTTATCAGCATTAAGGTATTGTCCATAGCAAATCTTAGCATTAATTTTCTGATGAATTCGTGTCATGGGCTATTTTGACATGTGTAACCATCTCTACTGTGGAAAGGTTCCATCCTAAAAAGTCTGTAACAGTTACGACCTTTCCACTTCTTTCACATGGAGGAGTATTGTTTGAACAAATTAACAGATGTTTGTGGGGGCATCACCTCTCCTAGAGAAGTGTGGTAGGAATGTGATATGAGGTCCATACTTTGTGTGCGGTCATAAAAAGGCAACTTCCACCATGGCTGAATGGCCGCCTTTGGCCTTTTGGCAAGTCCTCCTCTGGTGCTTCTGCTGCTTTGACATCCTGGTCCCATTGTCCAGACCTCAGCCACACCAGCGATATAGATTTCCGGGATTGGACGGGGGAAATTTCTTTCTCCTCGCCAGTGCTGCTAAGACAAAGTTAGAATTTAGAGTAGGGCAGAGGAAATTGAAAGAAGAGTGGATAGGAAAAAGTACACACAGAAAAGAATACTAAAATAGGCTATTCATAGTTCTAGACAAACATTGTTTCAAACATTGAGCTAGCTGGTACACACCTTGTTAGGCATAAGGTTTACAGTAACAGCAAAGCAATCATGACAATATAAGGAATGGGTCATGTTAGGAATGTTCTAGGTCATTTTTGTATGTCACTTAATTTTTAATGCTTTTCTGCATTATAGATGCTACAATTTCCACTTTTTAAGAATTAACATCTTCATTTTCTCAATGTCTTGGAAAGATCTTGATGTTTTTATTATTTGTATTATTAGTGAAGGAGTGAAGCTTGGATTTCAATTCTGTCCTGTCTTAAAGCTTAGGATGATTTCATCTGGCTTCTCACTCCCTTTTTTTGCCTTGCTTTCTGGCTCCAAATTTTAATCCAAGTGTACATCCGTGTTTAACTGACATATCACTAAACAATTCTGTGGTGTCCAAGACATGTTGGCTGGTGTTGTTTATAAACATTAGGTTCTCAGAATGTTTGTGCCTAGGGCAGTCTGGCGCCTAGTCTTTTACCTGGTACTGCATAGAGAGGGACGACTTCCTATCTGCCCTTGTAAATTCCTTCCTCTATTTCCTTCACTCCTGGCCTGAGAATCCTGTGTTAATGTCATTATCTGACTTTATTTCCTCTCTACCTTGTTCCATGTTCTATTACATTTGTTCCACAAATATTTATTACTTACCTTCTAAGTTTCCAATCTATCTCATCAATAGGCCATGTATAAAGTTCAGTTTTTTTCTCTTACATTCTTAAGTTCTTATCCATATAAATCTTTTATCTATTAAGTTACCATGTTAGTTGATGATAAAATTCTAGGATGACTGTGAGTTAGAACTCTTCCTACTTCCTTATAATACAAAAAAGAAAATAGATTTTCTGAAATGTTTTTGGCCTGATTCAGATCAAATACTAGGATGAAGCTGAAATAGTGTGCCTTTGTCTTACTGTGTGATATCCGTAATTCTTTCCACTTTACTTTATATTCCCTTCAATCATTAATCCCTGGATCCAGTCTACATCTTATATAAATTTACACAAGATTCAGCAAGCTGCATCTATCTTTGTGTTTTTAACACTCAAACCTCTTGTTGGATATCATGCAAAGTTCAGGTTGTCTTTCAGAAACTTGGGTTCTCGTTCATGTCATTTGTAGAAGGAAGCAAATTGAGATTGTGAGTCTCAGTGAGAACACAGTTTCTCAACTCTACTATCTTGTCTCTTCTTCTCTCACACTCAGCAGAATGAGCTACTATAATTTAGCATATTCAAATGAATTCATACGCTATGTTATCATTAAAAAATAAAATAGATGGACACATAATCCTGAAATAATTGGGAAAATACATTCTGGACTTTCTCGTAAATTTGGGTTTTTTTTAGATTGAAGGAAAAACAAAATTCTTTAAGCATTCGGGGGGGGAGGGAGGGAAGCAGTAGTGATTAATTACGGCATAAAGACAAACAGAAAGAAAATAGGTAGTATTTTAGATGCGAATATTATGTATCTTTGGTTTTCCAATAAACTACATTGCCAGAGAGGAACCTTTCTCCAACTACACTTTAAAAAGTACTTTCCAGGGGCTCAGTGTGGTGGACTAGTGGCTAAAGTCCTCACCTTGAACCCGCTGGGATTCCATATTGACACCAGTTCTAATGCTGGCAGCTCCACTTCCTCTCCAGCTCTCTGCTTGTGGCCTGAGAGAGCAGTCGAGGACAGCCCAAAGCTTTGGGACCCTGCACCCACGTGGGAGACTGGGAAGAAGTTTCTGGATCCTGGCTTTGGATCAGCATAGCATTGGCCGTTGCACTCACTTGGGGAGTGAATCATCAGAAGGAAGATCTTCCTCTCTGTCTCTCCTCCTCTCTGTATATCTGACTTTCCAATAAATAAATAAATCTTTAAAAATAATAATAATAAAAAGTACTTTCCAGCTGCAAAATAATTTTTAAACCCTTAGTAATGATCACACTTATCCAAACCTTTGCACAACAATTTCATTTTATCTGAAAATGTATTGAGATCTTATCATGTACACAGTACTATCGTAGATACAAAAGGGAGCTTCAAAAAAGTCTCTCAGATCCCCAGAAAGTTAACATGTAATATAAAGGAAGCCTGAGAAAATCATTATGCAAAATAGAACATTATGTAATTATTAAGTCTTAGTTATTGTTAAACAGCTTATGAAAGCAATTTGTTTCAGGAATTCATTTATGTAAATGAAGTGGCGGTAAAGGCCATTAGAGAGCCAGAGCTTAAATTGGGTGTATAAGAGTATCTTTGGAGAGCTAGTCTGAGAAGGGATCTGATGCAAGAGAAATGAAAATGCTTCCTTAAGAAAATAATGCGCCCTTGATATATTTAAAAAGAATTTAAAAATCTCAAGAAGGAAATTTTTACATATCTTTGTTCATGTCTAGGGTTCTGTTTTAATTATATTACAGGCTTTTTGAATTATATAATGCAGAAATTTGGATAATTTATATATATATTTTTGTCTCAGGTGTGAAATTAACTGAGGTGCCCTCACAATTCAATTTTCAGACAGTTATACTCTTCTTTTTTGTTATTATTCTTTTGCTGTTCATCTTCCACTTCCACCCTATTTGCTAACTTCCTCACTATAAATATCATTCTATTGCATTGGTGTTCCCAGTGTGTATGTATCTTTAGATGTGAGTCATTCCTTGAAACATAAGCATTGCTGTTTTGTATATGCATCTTAATTTCTTTTTTTAAGATTTATTTTACTTGAAAGAATTCCAGAGAGGGACGAAGAGCCACAAATGCGCACGCTTACACACACATTATCCATCTGCTGGTTTACTCTCCCGGTGGTCACAACAGCCATAGCTGGGCTGATCTGAAGCTAGGCCTTCCTCCAGGTTTCCTAAATGGCCATAGGGGCCTGGGCTATCCTCTGCTGCGTTCGCAGTCACATTAGCAGGGAATTGGATTGGAAGTGGAGAAGCCAGGACTACATTATTTTTACTTTCTATAAAGAATATTATACTGTGGCTTTTACTCTAATTTTAAAAATTCTAAATTATTTTTTTTAATTTACTATTAATTTTTAAACAGCCTATCAAAGATATACCAATGTTGTTATATGTAACACTGATTATTGCTTCTTAATGTTGGATAGTATTTTACTGTATGTACATTCCAGGTTTTTACCTACTTATTCCTGAGTGATGGGGGACTCCGTTTGTCACTAGCTGGATGGTACAATGAACATCTTTGTGCTTGTCCCCTTGTGAACCTGAGCTCATGTTTCTCTGGAATTTGTGTCTAGAATAGATTACTGGATCATATTCATTTTCACTGCAAAGGCTATATCAGTATATACTCCCAGTTTCAGCACACCAAGCACCCATGCTCCTATTCTCATTAATAGCTGGCTTTTTAATATTTTGTAAATCTTTTATAACTTTTTATAATTCAATCATTCATATTTTACTTTTAATAAATTCCCAACTTTATAATTTTGTATTGGAATTCTCAACCCACTGATTTGTAAGGTCATTGTATATTCCAGATGTTATCTTCTTGCTAATTTCAAATATTTAAAAAAAAATTTCCCACCTATCCAATAC